AATTCTCCAGGTAATCATATATTTTGTCCATAAACCATTTGAACAATAGTGTATGCAGAATCTTTTTGCATAGCTGTGCGTAGGCCAAGAAGAGCAGTTGGAAGTGTTTCACTCCAGGCCAGGCTATTGTGCGCCATAAGTGTGATCTTGAGAGATCTATGGAGCAGTATTTTGAATTCATAAATGTGGGTTCAAGAATTTTGATTTCAAACCATGCGCTTGCAGGATATACCAGAATTTTCAATCACCAGCAGTATATGTCTACCCCCATGTAGATCATACTACTCACTTGCAAAGTTTCAAATTCTCAGAGCTTGTGTGTTTCCAGATTATTTTCTGCAAGGCATTGGTATCTGATAAGTACCTGCATGTAGATAATGATTATAATATTTAATATGCATTAAATTTTTATGATGGTTGCCAGTTGAAGGTCATATAAGAAAGGCTTTACTATGTGTGCCAAGCAGTAGCAAATCTTGTAACTGGATTAAAGCAGTCATATTTCTATGGCAATTAATCACCTCACTAATTCAAATGCCTCTTCATTGCCTTAGGTATCCGACCTCGTACAAAAGATGATTTTCGGTCAAAATTTCGACTTTTACTTTATTAAAGATTACATCTTTAGCTATCAAATAGAAGTTTTTGCTTGTTGATAGGTTAATTAGAACTGAAGTTATAAGCATTTTTCTGTAATGGAATAAACGGGAAGTTCCAATATTCTGGGCCGAAAGTGAGTGTTTAAATAGATATATTTAGAAACTTTATTTATCATCACGATTTTGTAAATTATAAACCTTCGTACTAAGTTTAGATATTTTGTAACACATTTTAAGAATCTGGCGATAGTTTTTACTCTTAATTTCGTATTTAGTTTGGTGCAGAGGGTATTCGATGTTGAATAAATGTGTTTCTGCTTTGTCGATTAACCTTGACAAAGTGCTTAATTTGAAAGCTATGTCACATTTTTGCATTATTTGCAACAAAATAAACAGAATGGAATACAATCTTCAGCACGACATACGTAAAGTGTAACATTATTGTTCTACAAATTATAAAGCAGCAGCTTTGGGTACGGAAGCAGTTGGTGCTTATCCGCTTTTTGAATGATCTATTACATTACGAAAACTGAAGTTTATGGAGTATTATGAGGATGGGGATTCTAAGGGGTTTTTAATACTGAAAAAAATATATGGTAAAGATTCGGTCAAGAAACTGGAATACATTGGACATGTACAGAAAAGGGTTGGTAGTAAACTATGAAAAGTAAAAAACTCTGCTCCTGAATTGAAAGGGAAAGGTAAACTGACTGATTCTTTTATTGATAAACTGCAGAATTAGGGATTGCAATTAGAAGTAATGTTGGAAACTTAATTGAGATGTAGCAAGTTGTACTAGCTGCTTGTTCCATTGTAGCTCTTCTTCGAAGCCAATACCCTCCTCAATTAATGAGTTGGTGCAACTATGAATGTGCGATTGCAGAAATCAGAAAAAATTCGAAAAGAAAAAAATTCCGACAAAAACCTCTGGTATATCAGCATATATTTTGAATTTAATTTAACCTATATATATGGAGTTAACTACTACATAAACAAGAGTTATTAAAAAAGTGCATACATGGCAAAGCTCAAAATATAAAGGAACGTTTTAATGGTATTTTATCGCAAATTGTTCCGAAAGAAATATTCATAAACTTGCGAACATTTATGTTTGGAGCAAATGTAAGTGTTGTATTATTTAATGTTATTTAATGATGGATTTATAGGTTTGCTTGAAGCATTTTCAAGGTTAGGTATGTGTTACACTGAGCAGGGAATTCGGAAACTTGATAAAGTGCAAAATCATAACTTTTGATGGCATTCCACAAGTTTTACAAAAATCCAAAGAAAAAATTACGCTTTGTTCGAAAGAAAAAGTGCAAAGTGTGTGAAGAAAAAACAAGGTGTCAGTTATAAAGCAGGGAAATTTTAATTATCAGGGATGCTTCTTTCACTAAGAAATTGTTTTATGAAAACTTTAAACTTGTTTTCTGAAAAATGTTTTTTCTTTAAATGTTGCCAATCGTAACAGCCATAACTCAAAATTTTATGGATAAAATTAAATGATGCTTTCTAATTATGTTTCATATAATCTGATGCATGCTCTGAAGTGGAAGATTTTAGAAATATTAATTAGAAGTTAAATTGTTACTTTTTATTTTTAGATTTTGGATGCAATAATAGGAAAATATACAGTAAATACTATACATTTTAACATATCTCAAGAATACGAGGGCTATCCAGAAAGTAGATTACGTTTTGGAATAAAAAAATAAACAAAGTATAGGAAACAAATTTTATTATATACAGATGAAAGCCACACTCAAATACTACTTTTCTACATAGTCACCATACAAATTAAGGCATTTATCGTAGCGATGTACGAGCTTGGAAATTCCTTCGTCGAAAAATTCGGCCGCCTGCGCCTTCAACCACTTCGTTACCTCTTCTTGCAGCTGTGCGTCGTCATCAAAACGCTGCATAGCCAGCCACTTCTTCATTGCTGGGAATAGGTGGAAGTCGCTCGGTGCCAGGTCGGGACTGTACGGCGGATGAGGAAACAACTCCCACTTAAAAGATTCAAGAACTTTACGAGTGACATTTGCCGTGTGGGGCCGGGCGTTGTCGTGAATCAACAAGATCTTAGAGCTCAACATTCCTCTGCGCTTGTTTTGAATTGCTCTTCTGAGTTTTTGGAGAGTTTGGCAATACCTTTTAGAGTTTATTGTAGTGCCTCTTTCCAGGAAGTCCACCAAAATTACACCTTTTCTGTCCCAAAAAACAGTCGCCATCATCTTCCTTGCCGACATTGTTTGCATGCATTTCTTGGGTTTTTGGGGAGAACTTGTGTGCCCCCACTGCATTGATTGCAATTTCGTTTCACAGTTCACATGTTTCACCCATGTTTCGTCACCGGTAACGATGCGATCGAGTAAAGAGTCACCATCCTTATGGTAAGCGTCCAAAAAGTTCAACGCTGCAGCCATTCGCTGATTTTTGTGGTCCTCTGTCAAGATTTTTGGAATCCATCTTGCACAAAACTTGTGGTAACCAAGCTTTTCGCCGATGATTTCGTGCAACAAACTTCGCGAAATTTGTGGAAAACTCAAAGAAAGTTCCGTTATTGTGAAATTTCGATTTTCACGGACTTTAGCATCGACTTTTTCGAGAAGTTCGGCGGTCACTATGCTGGGTCTCCCACTTCGATCTTCGTCGTGAACATTGGTTCGGCCATTTTGAAATCTTATGACCCACTGACGCACTCCACCTTCAGTGATAATGTTGTCCCCATACACTTCACGAAGCTGCCGATAGATTTCTATCGGTTTACAGTTTTTTGCAGTCAGAAACCTTATTACTGAGCGCACCTCGCAGCTCACGGGATTTTCAATTAACGCAGACATTTCAAACCGTCACAGTATCTGAACGGAGCACAGCACGAACCTCTCACTAGCACGGCTAGATGCAGACTGAGCTGCGCAACGCTCTGACCCCAAGATGGCCGTGCTAGCCCCGCCCCTAGCGGACACAGACGGAAACGTAATCTACTTCCTGGATGGCCCTCGTATATGAATATTTCTTAATTATTTTGCTTGATTGCATACAAAACAAGTGTAAACATAAATACAAATTAAAAAAAACTGCATATTTATTTATTTTTACATTGTAATTGTTGCTGTAAAGGTAAAATTTAAGCAAAAATTATCCCTTTTTTCATTATTTTTCAAAATTAAAATTACTTAGCATTACATTTTAAGCTGTTTTCACTCATTAATATGCTTATTTTCAAATTAATATGTTTATAGTTAAAATAAAAACCATTTAAAAAAAAATGGTACCCGAACGAGGTCGGATTTCAGTGTTTAAAGTGCCATCTGTTTGAGCTAACCAAATGTTTTGCGAAATTTTCTATCATACATGTATTTTTGAAAGCAAAATGTGCAATGTACATCTTCCTTTTGTAAAAAGTTGAAGATTACACCATTGAAACTTCATCTCTGTGGTTAGTATAGAGAAGTTTTCTTTTACATGGTAACTCTAGTAGTCAATGGTAACTGTCTGTTTTATGTTAAAGTGCAAGAATTACACAAAGCAGTTGTGCATTTTATGCACATTGTCATATGGTATGATTTTTATGTACAAAAGCTACTTTAATACACAACACAAGAATTGTTTTAAATGGCTGATTTTTCTTTTTAACTTTATTAGTCACATTTTATTTTCTATCTAGTCACATTTTATATATTTTTTGTCATTAAAAAAGAAAGAATAAAGTTTTAATGTGCATTTCAAATTTCAAATTACAAAAATGTTTTGCTGAAGAACTAATAATTTCAAGCTACAGGCAGATTCTTGAAAAGCATTTTCATTTAAAATAAAAATATATAGCAAACACCATCCTATATATAATCAAAATTTTTGTGTCCAAATTATTATGTGAGTTCTTTTTTCTCAGAAAAGAACTACTTAAGTTATAGGAGAAAACTATTTGTGCTTTAGTCTAGAATATGAGTTATTTTGTATATAAAATTTTTAATGGATCAATAATACTTATGTATTAGTGCAACTCCTTGGCTTACTTTTTTATCTTGAGTGAGTATTCCCCCTCCACTCAAGATAAAAAAGAGTTATGACTTAATATTTACAAAAAAAAATTATATATTAAAATTATATATACATGATGAATATATTTTAAATGAATAAGAACAATGCAGTGTATGAGGGTCCTTCATAGATGGTAAATCACGAAGTGGAATTTTTTAAATCTGGAGGATATAAATATAGGTATAAAAATGCATATGTCTAGAGAGAATACATTTAGTTTTAACTACTCAGTTATAATTTCTTAGCAAAATTGAAGGCTATCGAACTTAAGATTTTAAGTTTTATTTTCATTTTAATAATTAAGATGAATAAGAAAATTTTGAATGTATTTCTGAATTTACAAATGTTTTACTTTAGGCTTGTGCTCATCGCTTTATTTTGGCGGGAGATGATTATCAGTGGGGCCAAGGTATATGTTACTCTTTGACACAAGAATTGGAACTTGATAGAGCTTGGGAACCTTGTAAAAACCGTCCTGTTAACAAAGCTCATGAACAATATGGCTATTGTCAAGCTGGAACCAGTGGAGAAATTGCAGAAGTAAGATAAGCACAGTTATTGTCAATTTATTGTTGTTTTATAAATATTAAATCTGTCTCTATAATGATATAATTTACTAAGTTATTTTGCTATACTAAGTGATTAATATACAAATGCAGTAAAATAGTTTAGTCATTTCTTTTTCCGACCAAAAGTAACAGTTTAATTGTTTTAACTAAAATCAGTTAATTAAAAGGTTTTAATTAACTAACTAAAAGCAGTACATTACATGATTATCATTTAGTGATTTACTAGTATCACTTGGATCAATTAATTTACATAATTTTTTACGATTATGTTAAAGCTTGAATTATTTCATTCCGTTTGTTCATATTGGAAGTATTTATTTTTATTGGAAGTAATTGAGTTTTTGTAATATATATATATATATATATATTCATTAGCTATAAGTATCTCAGATTGGTTTGTGAATATTTATTATATGGAAGTATTTTATAAAGAAATAAAGTGCAAAATTGTTGTAGGTTATGTAGCAGAAAGAAATTAATGCTAAATAATACATTTATTATGTTGCTATTAATGATCAGATTCTCAAAGGGAAACTGCTTAACTAGAGCTGGTAGGATGTATGTTTGCTATTCATAGCTATCATGGCCCTACTCATTGATAAATATTTCCTACTAAGTTTGGTACATTCCTGTGGGTATATCCTTCTGTTTCTCCTGCAGCTGTGGTGGTTTAATCTGGCTTTTAAAGTGCTGTATTAACTTATCCCAGAGAAATTTAATTGGGTTGACATCAGGGCTTTTGCCAGATCAGTTGAGTTCATTCACTCCCATTTTCTTAAAGCACTTGGTTATAACTTTTACTTTATGAACAGATTAATTGTCATATTGAAAATGATAAGAGCTTCTTTCAAATGCTTTTCTCTGGCTGGGTAGCACATAATAGTTCAGTATTACATAATATAGTTTGTTTTTCAGAGTTCAAAGCATAAAAGCTAATGGGCCAAGAACAAACCAAGAAAATCCAGCCCATACCATAATTCTTGGAAGTTCCACAGGGAAAAGAAACAAAGCAATCTGATAAATAATGCTTATCTTAAGATTTGGCTAGATCCATATATGTTTACAACATATAGCATGATTTTTCATTCTATATGAGGCCCTTCTATTATTCTAGAGCATATGGGGAATTTGTTGTACACTATTGCAATTGATAATGAGTGCAAATGTTTTTTTGATGAATGGTAGGAATATTGACATTGCTTTCCGCATGCAGGTTAAAAGTGTATGTCTATGATATCTGACAAAGTTTTTCATTTTGATTTTCCTTTAGAGTCTGACAGTCACTAATAATAAATTATTTAGGCTTTTCTGCTTGAGAATGAGATTTCATAACTCTGTCATGTTTCCAATTTACTACTATATCCTGATGGTTATTCATGATATCTTGAACTTGCTTAACAAAATAACTGGATCAGTGGGTACCAATAATCATATTCCTTCAAGTCTGAGTTCTTACATGCATCCTTTTTAATAGCTGTAGCTAGTAATATTTCTCTGAAGCTAGTGTATACTTCTGTATATTTTGCAGGCTTACTTTTATGCATTAGTGACTTATAAGAGCTTCTACTTTCCTTTCAGGGAATATCTAACCAGTCTTTAATGATAACTTAGTGTTTTTCATTATACTGAAATTGCACTCGAATGTTTTTAATTAGTGGAATTATTTTATGTGAACTTGAAAACATATTTAATTGAAATAGTTAAAATGTGTAAAAGAAGTATTATAAATAGATTTAAATATTCAACCTAAAATTTTTCTTATCATTTCTTTTCCTGTCAAATCTATCGTAAAGTGATGTTGTAAAGTTACTGAAACTCATACTTTTTTTTAAAAATAGGACAATACTATTGTTATTGGTTCTCCTGGACCTTTCACTTGGAGAGGTACAGTGTTTGCTAACAATGTACGATTCAAACTTCTTGATGATAGACGATGGTATTATGGACCTATCAAGGAAGAAACATCACCTGTTGATAAATACAGCTATTTAGGTATAGTACTTAGGTAGTTTTCTGATATGTATGTTGCTATAAAAATAGGTAAATAAAAATAAGAACTTTAATTTGCAATAATCTCATTAACTCAATTTTAATTTAGTTATTTCATTTTTTTATTCTAAAAACAGTAGCTGCACATAATATAAACCTCTTTAAACTATATCATTTCAAAATTAATCTTTGTCATTTGATTCTTCCATAATGTTACGATGCAGATGCTGTGGTAGCATAGTGGCAAGCAGGGAAGACGAACAAATGATGCCAACACAAAAATGAATTAGACAAATTCCCAGTCTTAACTTTCATGCATATAAAATCATCTCCATAGATATTTATCCAATCATAATGAAATCCAATACATTTCTGTGTATATTGGTTTTTAAAAAGAAATGACATAGGCAGTTAAGCAAAGGCAGTGACTGATGTTGACAGAACAGCAGTTAGGGAAAGGAATAACAACGTAATTAACTCGTCAGCGGTATTTATACTAAGTTTGTGGTATAAGTATGTGGTATCTGTGATTGGTTAATTTGAGGTTGTTTTATAACATAGAAAATTTCAAATTTGGGAAAACAGATGAATTTAGAAGGAGAGCACCAAATCTAGAATGTTAATTTTGAGGTTGCTAATTATTTTTAAAGCAACTGTCGTATTTTGTTATATTTTACATCCCTTCAAAAGAAAGTTTGGGAGAGCAGGGTGGCAGAAAAGCATTAGTGAATTAGTGAAGATATGAGGAAAGACATGAGGAAGCATCAAGGACATAACCTGCAGGTTTTCTTATGCCCCTTCTTGATTCATGACCTTTCTCATATACAGATTATGAAAGGCCTAGCATATAATTTACAAGTAATGTAATTTCTAAAGAAACTAAGCAATAAATTAATACAAATATAATTTTTAAAGTCCTCAAGTTGTCAAAATGTCCAATGTCTTTTGAATGTTGATGAAACTTTTTTTTTTATAAAGTCTCTTGATGAAAAACATTCCACCAGGTAAATGTTCAAATTTTTTCACAAAGTAAATGTTCACATGTTTTTTATAAAGTAAATGTACACTAAAAAGTCTTTCAAATCCTTGTTGATGAAAATATTTCCTTTGTAATATAGCTTAAACTTTCAGTTTAATCTGTAACATGTAGAAATATAATACTCAATTTGTGATTAATTGAATAAATTCTTCTCATTGCGGGTACACATACTTAATACAACAGAAAATCCAATGTAAAAACATAATAATATAATGCAATACTAAATAATACTTTGACGATTAATTTGGCATGTCCTTTCCAACAAAATCAGCGTACCATCTTGCTGATGGTTTGGAGGTGCTTAAGTGCAAGAGATAAAAAAACCCGCATTCCTTAAAAGTTAACTGGTTTTTGGCATTGTATAACTGTCAAAGTTTTTCCTTTAAAATTCTTTCATATTACATAATAAAAATACAATATTATACAAAATTGAGACTGAAATTTAAGAAAAATAACTTGTATAATCAAGTTAAAATCTTTTTAAATTTTTGCAAAAATATAATTAAATACTACCGTACAATAAGAAGAAAGAAAAAGAAAAATTTTTTGTTTTAAAATTTGTGTGTGTGTGGTAGCTCTTCTGCGCTAAACTGTGATCAGAGGACCGTGACTGGTAAAGAAAATACAAAAACCAAATGTCAGTCTCATGGCCATAGTTGAATCTCCTAACAAATAAAAACAGAAAAATTTTAGGGGTGTGTTAGGAGTGTTCCTAGGGGACAGTGGGCATGTGCTATCACTTCTTGTATACCTTTGCTTAACTGCCTACGTCATTTCTTTTTAAAAGCCAATGTACATAGAAATTTATCATATTTCATTATGATTGGATAAATATCTTTGGGGATGATTTTACATGCATGGAAATAAGGATTGGGAATTCGTATAATTCATTTTTGTGTCGGCGTCATCTGTTTGTCTTCACAGCCTGCCATTATGCCACCATGACTACGCTTTAAAAGCATTACGTAAGAAAAAGTCAACAGGATGTTGACAGAGCAGCAGTTAAGGAAGGGAAGAATGATGTAATTAACTCGCCAGCAATATTTGTACTGAGGTATAAGTAGAGCTAATCTGTAATTGGTTAATTTGAGGTTGTTGCATAGCATAGAAGATACTCGAGTTTGGGAGAACAGATGAATTTAGGGGGAGAACACCAAATGTAGAATGTTAATTTTGAGGTCGCCAATTATTTTTAAAGCAGCTATCATATTTTGTATATCTTACATGCATGTATGAATGTACATATAAAAAAGAAAGTGTGTGCGTGTATGGGAGAATATAAAATAAAAAGCATGAAAGAAATCAAAGTAATGAATAGTTGTATTAAATGTTGCGGTCAAATTTAGGGATAAATAATGATTAAAACTCTAAACTTAAGGTATGAATTACTGAATGATTAACCTGTAAAAACAAAAGGCATTTTGAATAAAAATGAAAAAGTAAAACATGATGAAATTTTTTATTAGTAGAGGAATGAATCATAAATAATCATCTCTCATAAATTAATAAACTGTAATGTAACAGCATATCAGATTTTTAAAGCAAAATGTAAAACTTGAAAATATGAAATTTTTGAATGGAAGTCAAACTTTTTTTTGTGTTTTATTTTCTATAAAAAATACAAAATTTTCTTCAATGTAAATACTGGAACCAGATGAACATATGAAGAGTTAGATTTCATAACTTTTATAAAATTGATTTCTTTAAACTAAAAAATACCAAAACATGAATACTTGTGTTATTTAAAACATATTTTGTAATTGAAAGTATGCATGTATGACTAGTGGCTGTGAAAATAAAAGCCGGGTAATGATAGATGCTTGGTAGATGCAATGTATATATGTACCATCCAGTACCAGTTTATCCATTTTTTAAAATTGTATTGCCAATGTAATAATTCTATTCATGAATCCAGCCTGAAATGTGTAAATCAAAAGAAAAATATTTCTCTGTTAATGATTTTTTCCTAAATTACTATTTCTTCTGAGAATTATTAAAACATCAAAATTGGCTGAGATGTAAATTTTAATATTTTATCATGCCTATCATGTTTAAAATTATCTTAAAACAATTCCTTAATTTAATTATAATGCCAGTATAATGATAATTTTCAGTATTCCCTTGTAGTTGTTAAATCAGTTTGAGTACATGTAATAAGTAAAATAATAATTTTAATTTTAAGAAATTTTATTATATAGGTATGTCAGTGACTACTGGTGTATTTTTTGATGGCAAAAGAAGCTTTGTAGGTGGGGCTCCACGATCCAATGGAACTGGCCAAGTAATCTTTTTTACAAAGGGAAAAGTTGGCGAAGCAGTATTTGATGTTCAATTAATTTTAAATGGTGAACAATTTGCATCATCTTTTGGTTACACATTAGCCTCTATAGATATCAACAGTGATGGGTAAGATTAAATTAGATATTTCTATGTGAAATTTATAATTTTTTAATATAGATGTGCAGTACAGTCAAAAGTCGTTAATTCGGACACCCATTACCCCGAATGATCTATAATCCGGACCACAAAGCTACAAACTTTCTGCGCATGCGTCGCGTTGAGGTATGCGCATAGGTGTTTACGCATGTGCATAAGACCTTTACGGCTGCGCATATGCATGTGCGCATGTGCGTTTAATGTATAATGGATGGTATAAGCTAAAATTATCTAATTATCTATTTCAGTTAATGTTGCAGCTTGTGTTGTTCCTTAATCTTCGAATTGGATGCGGCTTATTATTTTTTGCAGACTGTTAGAGCAATTTTATAAAAGTAAGCTTGAACTTTCGATTATATCAAATAGAATTTCCGATATATATTTACTAATATGTAAAGGATCTACAAAGCTTAAATATGTTTCGAAATCCAAAATCTGTTTATCAATTTCACGCTGCTCTGCGGCGGAGGGGGGGGGCAATGAATTGGAAGTTGATCTGTCAGCACTATCCTTATCTTCAGGGCAGATGTTTTATTTTATTTGGCTTATAATTCCTTGCTAAATGTAGTATTTCATCTCGATGTACTCCATCTTTGATATTATTTAAATCAAGTTCCTCCTCATTATAATTCGTTTCCGATAGTGAAGAAAGTGACACAGAGGTTATTGAAAATGAAAAAATTTCGATTGACAAATTAGTCGGTATTCTCGGCACAGCAATTATAGGACTTGAACAGTGGAACTTTGTAACTAAATAAAAAGTTATGTCTGTTTAATAGAATTAAAGAGAAAGTATTGTGACGGGAAACGAAGCAACTTAAACAACTTACATTGAAAGAAATGTTTAATAAAGTAAACAAATAAATAATAAGCTTTTTCTTTTTGTAAATTTTGATACCCTTTAGATCATAATTGTTCTTTATTTCATAAATTACAGATTCATATTTTTAATTTTGTAATTTCTGCATGCCATCTTACCAGATTTAAACTGATGATCTATAATCTGGAAAAATCGATAATCCGGAATCGCCGAAGTCCCGATGAGTCCGGATTAACGACTTTTGACTGTACTTAAATTTTTACTTATGATATGGAAAAAATAAAATTATAATGAGAGAAAATGTGGGTCCATGAAGTATTTTAGATGATATATGAGAAAAAAATTATGAAGGTCAATAAAAAGAAAGTATTTACTTAGTGTTGTTTAAAAATTTTATTCCGAAGAAAATTTTAATAAATGATCTTTACCTAAGTATACCTAATGTTAGAATTTCATCTTTCTAAGGATTCTGTGATAAATATATAAAGGATGTTTCAAAATTACGTTTACAAGCTTTCAGGATTGGTAAAGCACATCAAAAGGAATAATTTGTGATAAGTTTGGGGATGCCAGGCACTTTGTCAATGAATGTGTGCTTACCCGGAGTGCAAGCGAGAAATATTGAAAGAATTTTATGGAAAATTTTAAAAGAACCTATTCAAATTTGAAAGTTTTTGCAGAGACAGTAATGAGGAATATAAATACGAACAAAGATAGAATTGGATTTCGGCACTGAGACCCATAGTTTGGGCTTTATATGTTTTTTCTTATATTTGTCTTTTTTTTCCTGGCCTGTCCTATTTTTTTATCTTATGGTCGGCTAAGAGGATTGGGGCTGTGCCCTTATAATAATACCAATATCTCAAGGCTCTTTCACAGAAACAAATCAATGTTTGATGAATCTGATTAATGCAGGGCCATGTGGTATGTTTACAGTCCCAAATCTGTGAGGCCAATCGATCAGTCCAAATTCTGTTGAATGCAACTGCTATAATGGACTGGAATCCCTTGTTGTGTTGAAATTATATCTGGTTATAAATGCTTGTTGGAACATTGGAGAGTATGTCTAGCGGAACTTCTTCCAGAAAGATCTATTACTTCTAGGAGTGTGTTTGAGTTGGTAACAGATATAACCTGACTAAACAGTCTTGCACAAAATCTACACAGATATTAATTTTTAAGCAGCATTGCATCATATGGAATTTCACAATATGTAAGTTCTCATAAGCCCACACTTGTGCTGAATAAAAGCTCTTTCCATAGTGAACAAAACTTCATCTGTAAACAAGACAATAGCTGGGAAAGTTGTGCCTTCACCAGAGATTGGCAGACTTAACAAAATGGAAGAGACAAACCTGTTTGTTATAACAATAATTTTTAAAAAGTTAAATTTTACGTTGGTATATTTCTTTTCCATTTGAATTTCAAAAATGATTTAAGGGCCATAAATATATTTTTACAAATAAGGAAATTTTAAAGTAATATTATAAGAAGAATTATATTTAGAAAAAGTTATAATATTAATCATTGAAGATCATTAAGTCTGACATTAATAGGCCTTTTACAATGGTCTGCTTGCATTGTGATTAAAATTTCTTCTTCTATTTCAGTACCAAAATTTGCAGATTTAGAGCTCTGTAAGTCTTTAATTTAAAAATTAAATTTAATTTAGAACTCTGTAAGAACTTTGCCTGTTAAGTCTAGCAATTATATTTCAAATTTAATCACAGTGATATCAAATGGAGAAACATTTCTTTTGTATTAGCATTAAGAGGGTTTGCTGTAAAAGTTAGAATCGTTTTAACATTTCTTTGAGTAATCTGTATTACATTTCATCCTGAAGCCTTTGAAGGAAGGATTGTCTTATGTTTAAAACTGTTTGAAATAATATTTATTAATGAGAATATTATTTTCTGAGTAATATTGAGACAAGTTTAGGAAATGATGTTAAGTTCTCTTTAAATCTTTAACATAAAGAATCAGTTCCTTTTCAAATGGAACAACTTCTAGCATTGGAAAAGCTGTATTTTTCTTGACTTGTAATTTATGATTAAGCTGATTCATTTGTGATGTAATATACCATACACTGTACAATATTTGAACTAATGATCTTTTATTTTTGGATGTCGAGTACTTTTCTTATTTCTGGACATCTATTTATTTTTATTTGTGCTGTCAAGTAAAGCTTGATTTTGTTTATTAACTTTCAGTTCATAGTGATTTTGAATATTTAAATAACTGGCGGAAGAGCAGAACTTGCAAGTTTTTCTGCTCTTCTTGGAAAACCAGTATTTAGGTATTAACACAACTACATAATAGAAGTTGCTGAATTTTTGTATGCATTGAACTCTAGAAACGATGTGCATAACAATCTTTAGGCAACCATGCGTATGACAATTCTTCAGTTTTAACAGGCAACATCACCATTTTTATATCTGTTCTTTTAGTTGTATTTCTAGATTCCAACTGCTTTTATAAACAAATTGTGATTTTTTTTCCCTAGTTGTTGTGATTTTTTTCCCCTAGTTAGTTGCCTGTTCAGTTTGAAATATGTGTTTGTAAGATTTGCCTGCAGTTAAAGAAATCATGGCAAAATTTCTGCAGAAATGCCATTTTTCTATAAAATCACTGAAGGGAACAATTAGCTTAAATCTAAGTTTAAAGAGCTTGTCATAAAATATCCACCAGAACAACAACAACAAAAACAGCTTGTAAGTTTGTTTATTGGTTGAGTTTCAGGATTATTAAAACATTACATATTTTTTTTGCAACTGTAAGTCATCGCTCTTTTGTAAAAATTGCCATGATGATTGTGCTAATACATAAGTACTGTTAAGTCTTATATGAAATTATGATAATGCGATGTAGAATAATGCATGAAGTGAAAATTAGGTGATTTAATATAATGGGAAATAATAATATATGATAAACGCTGAAGTTAAAGATGGAAATGAAAATGCTAATGTAATGCAATGATTAAAAAAAGGGGTTAATATTATATGTTTCATCTAATTTTAAAGGTCAGCTTAAAATTTAGTTTAAATTCTGCTTTAGGATGGTGACAGTTCTTCAAAACTGACACCAGTTTAAGGTTGAATTTTGCCTAATTTTAAATGATTAACTAGTGTGCTGTAACTGAATAATTATATGTTTTTAAAATGAAAGATGGGATTATTTAAATAATCAGAGTTAAAATGAAATTTATTTCATATGAAAAATATATCTTTAATGGTTATTTAATTATTATTTGAAAGATATTTTTAAAGCCTTTCTTTTTTTCATTTTTTCAAAAATTCTCTGTTAGTAATTAACTAGTATAAGTTTATGTATTTTTATTTAGTTATTTAGATCTTGCTGTTGGCGCTCCGTTTTATTATTCTAAAGCAAAAGGAGGTGCTGTATATATATACATAAATTCACCTGAGGTATGTTTATTTATGAATTTTTGTTTAAAATATTGTGATGAATTTTATCATACTTTTTATGAATTCATTAATATTATGTCACTAGGGTATTAAGGAAACTGAGGAATCTATTAAAATAACTGGCAAACCAGAATCAAGATTTGGATTTGCTATTGAGAATGCTGGTGATCTAAACAAAGATGGTTATCCAGGTATATTTTATGTTATATGTTCCTTAATGAAACACAAAACCATGCATTAACATCAGTGAAATGCATTTATATGTAACTTGTATTTTAAACTTTAAATACTTAAAGTAAATTAAAGTATTTTAAACTAAAAGTTTAAAGTTGAGTTAAAAGTCCTTAAAATTTGTAGCTGTTATTTTTTTCAGAATGAAATGCAGTATAATTCTGATAATCCACATTGCCATGGGATTAGAGAATTTTGCAATTATAGGTTATCTTTCTTGAGTTTTGTTTATGTTTGTTCCTTTATGTTTTATATATTAATATGAATTGTTTGTATTTAATGATTAACCTAAAGATACATTTACTATAAATATTTGATCAAGATTTAGTGAATGCAAAACTATTGCATTTTTTTTTTTTTATATATTTGTGTACTAAAATAATATCAGTACAAAAGGAAGATGTAATGGGGAGGAAAAGAAATGACTGATAGGGAGATTTTTTTTAAAGAATGAAAGAACAGTTTTGAAAAATACATCAAATTATTTCATGTGTGTGTGGGGGGGGGAAGGTTTATCCACTGCCAGAATTACTTTGAAAATAATTTTTATACTCTTAAATGAGAGGGAAAAAAGACAAATGAATAAAAGCATTAACCCCAGTAACAAACTGTTCTTAAATAGGCTCTTTACACTAATTCAGCCATTATATTCTGTGCATTGTGCAGGTGGATTAATAACAGTGTTAAAAATTTACTAAAAATGCTAGAATTGAAATTTTGGATTTATTAAAAGAAAATTTCTCTGCTTTTAACAGTTTGTTATCATTGTTTTTATTTTTAATGGGAGAAAAACCATTACAAATGCTGTTTTTAAGAAACTTCCTGTATTTGCCATCGATGTAAACGTTTTTGCTCATTCTCTAATATATAAACAAATCAAGATGTAATAAGATGTAATTAGGTAGGAATTAACATCTGAAAAATTGTAGCTAAAATTCTTTGCATATGGTAACCACTTAATTCAGATTAATTTAAGCAGGATGTGCACCTAAAAGTAATCATTTATCTAAAACAAAATTTTATATTCATGTTTACTTATAAAGAAGAGAATGCTTATAGGTGTGAAAAATGTGATGAGTTTGAAGAATTAAATAACAACAATAATAATAATAAATCCTGTCATCAATCAAAACATGTTACAAATAAAATGTATTTTTGTTAGTAAAGTTTGTTTTCAAATTTGTTAGAGGAAAAAGCTGCCATGCTGAATTTTTTAAGTATTTCTAAATATTATTGTTTGTATCCAAAAATAAGTGTCATATAGAAAATTAATGATTAAATTAATTATTTTGAACATAAACTTTAAGTTAATTATTTAATCAACAGGTGTCAGAGTAAAAAATAAAAGATAAAAAATTGTATAAGCTATGAATCTTAGAACTCATATTAAACTAAATTACATTATCAAGTAAATTAAACTCATTTAAAATTCACTGGAAAGGAAAATGATTGCTTCTTCTCTGCTCCTTTGATATTAAAATCCAATACATATTTCCATTAACGATAACAATGCATCTCACATCAGAATTCTATGAATATTATTTCTGACATAATGTCAACTTACATCATAAAAAATATGAGAGAAGTTAACTGCTTGGGAATATGAACAGCAGTTAACCCTTTGTGGCACGTTCTACACACACCTAAAAATTTCCTTCTGTATGCACAGAAAAAAATTTAATGAAAAAGGATTTAAAGGTTACTATACGTTACTCTGAACCTTCTTAATTTATAGTAGATGGCAGCTCAACACAAACCAGTCCATATGTTTTATCCATGTTTAGTTTTTTAAGACCCTCATTTTTCAAAGAAATCTTCCATATTGTTTTTAGGGTATAAAAGGAATCATTTGAAAAGAAAATTCTATGTTATTATTTTGGCTGTATGCTAATCTCCTTATTCTATATTAGTTTTAAATTTTTACTTTGAAATCTTGCCTAAAATCAATCAGCAAACCTCTGATGTTCCCAGACTGGGCTCACTGATAAACTAGGACAACTCAGAGACTGTATTCTTTGTTTCTCTGCATATCATCGGTCAGTTCATTGACAACAGAAAGATGGGTTCACATCTGTGTTTCATTTCTTCTTTTTCTCTTTCTTCTTTTCTCTCTCTCTCTCTCTTTTTTTCTTTCTTTCTTTTGGAGGAGACATTTGGTTATCAACAAATTTTTAGGTTGATTTTCTGAAGGTCAATGGTAATTTTATCAGTTAGCTGTTTGGTTTTTCACTAGAGCAGTTCTCTTTTGCTTTCATTCAAAGTTTGCTAGTACTATGTTTAATAGTTTTGAGTTGTAGACGTTTATTTAATTTAATTTTATATTTTATAATTTCTTAATTGTAGATATAATATTAGTTTATTTTTTCGGATTTTTAATTATTTTAGAAACGGAGTGGAGAGGGCTGACCATTTCTAAAACACTGAAAGCTCTACACGAATTGCTTTCAGATAGTGAATCTGATATTTATCCTCGTACACATGCAAAACATGCAATATTGGGTTGTGCTTTTTCAAAAGTGGTGTCACTTTCTTTGAAAAGTACCACCATGAAAAAATAGACTAAAGGGGAAATTTGAAATGTAAATATATACCCAAGTTACTTTTTTTTTTTTCAATTCATAAGCATGTAATCATCATATAACCTAAAAGGAGCTTTTTAGGGGTGGTGTAGAGTTGCAGGTTTTTCGTGGCACACCCTGCATAATGCTAAATCTGCTACGGTATTCAGGATCTAGTGTTTTTTAATCATAGGCAAAATCTCTTCTCTTTTATGCGCTTCCCAGCAATGCTGGTTTCAGCACTCTTTTCGAAGCTCTATTCAATCAGTGTGCCCGCTTCAGGCACACCCACAGAATTAAAACGATAAATGCTATCTCACAAAATTTTACTTGTGTACTCCTCTAGGCTTAATTAGACTGTCTACCTTTTTTTTTAAATCGAAATTCCAATTTTAAAAGGCAGCTTGCTAGAAAGGGTTAACTCATTAAATATGAATGAGTTATGCAAAATATGTGTCAAAATTTGAAATTTTAACTCTCATCATCCAAGGATTACACATAGCAATGATTTAAATCTCTCTCTTTTCTTAAATATAATGTATTTTCATAAAAGTAATTTTAATAATCTTATCAAATTTATATATTATTATTCCAAAATTGTTTCATTGTCTAAATATCTAAATTTTCTCAAAATTGTAAATTGTTTAGAACATACTTAAAAGTACCATTGGTAAATTTTACAGGAAGGGGGCATTAGACTTAGAGAGGCAAAAATAGTAGAAGTGTTAATATTACATAATTATTAAAAGGAGTTAATACTGAATGGCTATTTAAAACACACCAGATACAATATTTGCACCTTATTTGGTTTAATTTTTATGAAAGTAAATTTTATTATAGATCTTGTTATTGGAGCACCTTATGAAGAAGGTGGTGGGACTATATACATATATTCAGGATCAAAGGATGGCATTATAAAGATCCCATCACAGGTACTTTTAGAAGTTTACTTTTAATGGTCATTTGCCATTGTTTTTGAACAGTATCTTTTTATATACAACTGCATGTGAATTCAATTTATATTACTTGGGTTTCATGTCAGTCCCTTTATATGAACTTCAGAATACAGATTTCATTATTGTTATAGATTATTCGAGCTGAAGATATTCCCAAAGTTGGAAATTTACAAACATTTGGTTATTCATTAGATGGTGGAATAGATATTGATGGTAATGGTTATCCTGATTTACTTGTTGGATCTTATGAGAGTAATGCTGCTGTTCTGCTAAGGTATTCTTTTTTACAATATAATTCCGTTTTCAGTATTTTATTTTCACTTTACCAATTTGTTCTCATATAAATTGGTGTGGAAATTAATTAATGTAACCACATTAAAGGTATAAAAATTATGCAGTGCTTTTTTTCTCTTAATATTATTTTTGAATACTCATCTTAAATTATTTTAAGATATTTTGAAATAGCAGTTCTGTTTTAGATTAAAACAGCATTTTATAGTATTTTAAAATGTATTTGATTTGATTTTGTTTAACATTTAATATTAAATAATTGGCATAGGTTCAAAATTCCTGAATTAAAGCTTTCTGTAAATTGTATGTAACTTAATATTTCTGTTTTTCCAAAAAATATTTAACCGTTCTATCACACTTCATGGATTGTTGCAAAATATGCTTATGGAGCATGTATTTAAAGATATATAATCTCATTCCCAAAGTAAAAAGAGTGTTCTAAAGTATTATTTCGCATTTGTTAGTTAATTATATTGCTAAAATGCGTATGAACAATAAAGTTATGTATTTATTCTGATCCATTTAAAATTAAACATTAGACAAAGTATTCATGTGTGGAATTTTTCATGTGTGTTTTTATGTAAGGTTACTTTTTAAGAGACCTTTAATTATTTTTCATGTGGGACATTTTTATGAATTTATACTTTTTATGATTTTTTTTTTTACAGAAGTTCATTATTTTATATAGTTTCATTCATTATCTTTACTAGGACATATGTTTTACATTGCCAGCTTTAGACAATGGTTGTGCAAGTAAAATTATTTCTGATTCTAGGTCACGACCTGTACTAGACATAGTAACTTCAGTTAGTGGCCAACTTTCAAATATTGATCCTGATAAGAAGGGCTGTGAAATGGATAGAAATGCTGCTAGAGTGTGGTGAGTGATAATTTTGATTTTATTTGTATCTGTGCTTTACTTCTAATGTTGTAAATTTGTTTTACAAAATTTAAAACTTCTTGCTCTTAATTTTCTGCATATTTAGTTAGCCAAGATTTTCATTCTAATCTTTTCTGTTTTAAGCTTTCCGGACAAGAGACATTTATCTTTGTCTCTTTGTAGGTAGTGTTTATGGGCGGAAAACACACAAGCATGATCTAATACATTGATATATAATATTAATTTATTGTATTTGGGAAGAAAAATTTTGAACTTTTTTTGTTATACAGAACTTTATAATTATATGTGTTTGATAGTATTTTTTAATTTAATGCTTCAATTTATTTTAAATTTATTAAATTATAAGAATCACCACATTTGTTTGCTTACATGGTGTAAATGGTTGCAAATTGAAGATCCATGGTTGAAATCCCAAGGAAGTCATAGTTGATTTTTTTTACAATTCTTGTTTAAAAAAAAAAAAAAAGAAAGAAAAAAAGAAAAAAAAAAAACAACACTTGTTTCTAAGTGCTAAAAAAAAAATTTGGTGAATAGTAATTCATTATTACCTAGATTTATTCTTATGCCTCTCTCCATTTGCATTTTGTTGTGGGAAAGAGCATAAGAAATTAGCATATTCGAACAAGCATATTTTTGTGGAGTAAACAATAGCATGTCCACCGTGGTTCGAGTTTTGGTGAGGGCATAGTTGAATTTTTCTTTCTTTCTTGCAAAAAAAAAAAAAAAAAAAAAGCTTTGGAAATTAATTAATCATTATTATGATTGGTTGTTTATACTGTAGATGCTTGGTTGAGATTGCTTACAGTAACAAGTGATTGAAGAAGATATGAGAGAATACACAATGCATCTACAAAGTTTTAATGCTGAATGAATAAGAAACCAAAAAGTCACTGCTTTTTTATATATTCCTTGTATTGCTATATTATTTTTGGCATGTTTTTGGAATTTTTGAATGTTCTTGTAGGAGTGAACTGTTGAAAAGTTCTTAATTTTCTCATTCACTTTGAAAAAAAATAATAAATTGGCATATTCTCATCATATGATAAAATGGAATTTCATTTTTAAGATAAAATTTCTCTTTAGATATTAAATAATAGTCTGTAGGTGCAATACCTGGTGAATAAGTGAGATAATTAAAATCAGTTAACACTATTACTTTTTACTGTGTCTAGTATTTGAATTTATAAGACTGAATACCAACTGCATAAAATTAGGCAAAAGGTTCCACTCAGATTTCGTTTCGTAAGCAGACACTGTTATAAAGAAAACAAGAAGTGTAAGTAAGTTTTGGATGTCTAAATACTGTCAGTAGTTATTATTTAGCAGTTTTGTAGGGGCTGCTTAACAAAATTTAATCCTAAAACTTTGTAGATAAAAGATAATTATGTATTTCTAGCAGATTATTCTAAAAAAATTAAAATATTCATTAAGAATGTGTAAAATATATTTAATTCAAAAGTCAATATATTTTAATGTTTTTTCATACATAAAATTCTGTAAAGAAATATCACAAATGCCACTTACTAAAAAATTAAAAAATAAAAAAAAAAATTCTGTAAAGAAATATCACAAATTCTGTAAAGAAATATCACAAATGCCACTTACTAAAAATTATTCTGTAAAGAAATATCACAAATGCCACTTACTAAAAATTATTGGATTATATTATACTGGCACTTTTTACCAGTTGGGTATCTTGCATTAAATATTGAAGTAATTATATAATCATCCAGTAACATCCTGGTTAATCTTATTTTAAATAAAAATGACTCAAACCTGTTTAACACCTTCAAATACACCAATCGGTAATAACCAGTGTTTACAGAGAGCTACCAGTTCCATTTAATACTCATGTTGTGATAATGTGAAATATAATATTAAAACACTTAAAATTATGCTTGGTGATACATTTAGTTGACTGCCATCCACTAGTGACTATTTCAGCATGAAAGTGGTTGTCAGTAATTTAGTAGTCATTCAGTAACACATCAGTGCTTGCTTTAGGTTTTCTGCTACATTGTGCACATTGCGTGGCTCCTAAATTCTACTTTCCATTGCCTCTTTAAACTCCAAACATTTTGCTGTCCCTAAATTCTGCAACCTGGTATGACTGTACTGGTTGCAACAGCCTTATAACACCTGAATAGTTTGCCATGGCTGAAAGATTCAAGCAAATACCATTTATTATACTTTTGTGCAGCTGTTACGTTTTAATAATTTTTTTCTTTAGTTTCAAAGTTCAGCTGTTCAGTTCACTTAGGTCTTAATTCAGTTGTGTGAATGATCATTTTAAAATTTTAATGAAAGAAGGAATTATTTCTCAGTGAATTTTTTTCATTATACTATATATTGCTATTAAACGTAATAAGATTTTCAACTGTAAGTATTTTCATATTATTACTTTGCTCAGCAGGATGTATGATAATGATGATTTTTGTTTGTTCCATTTTGTTGCAGCTTTTCCTTCCAAGCATGTTTCCAATTTAATTCATCTGTTTCTACATCAGAAGCCTTAAAGTTGCAATACAAAATTGAAGCTGACACTTTCACTGGAAGAAAATATTATAGAGTTCGATTTAAATCTTCTCTGGATAGTGAAACTCCTAATATTGTGAAAAAACAAATTGTGATGAAAGGCACATCTGTAAACAGACAGCATTGTTCTGAAGAAGTAGTTTATTTAAAAGTAAATATTGATTAAAATACATAATATGATCTCATCTTGTATGAAAATTAATGATATTTCAGTATTATTTTTCAATTTTATAGTTTATGAAATTGAAGCAAAGCAAAGAAAAGCATATATTATTTTATATAGTTTTGTATATAAAATAATTTATGCTTTCTGATGTGTGAGCATAAATATTGCAATTTCTTGGAGTTTGAGTATATGTTTAAATTTTTATATCATACTAAATTATAATAACATTATTGTAGTCCTCATTTGAAGTATGTATTTGAGAAAGTGGCTTGGATTTCTTAATTATGACAAATCTCGTTTAGGCTGTGTTTTTATAAAAAAGGATTGCCTTCATTTAGGATCTTCTTGGGAAATCTGGCACATGATTGATTACATTTACACATGAAGGGAAATCTTAAAACATTCATACAGCTAGCCATTCAATCACTGAACATTGAATCACTGCTTTCTACCAATATTTTACAGCTTTACTAATTGGCCATTGGTGGGTAATGCTACCCACTAGTGAGATAAACACAAAAACTAGATTCTACCTAGATTCTGTATCCATTTCCCAATTCTAGGCACGATCTGGTTTCCACAGGTTTTTGTGTGATTTTCTGCATGTGGTTAACCTGTTCATTCAAAACTGGTGGGTGAAAATAGCCAATTTTCCTTATAAGTAACAGGATAAAAGTAAGTAAAAAGAAACTGGCTTCTATGATGATATCCTTCTTGAGGCAGATAGTCCTTAAGTGTTTTGAAGTAATACACTCTTTTAGAGGGAAACAAAACAAAACAAAACAAAACAAAACAAAAATAAATAAATAAATAAATAAATAAATAAATAAATAAATAAATAAAAAATAAAATAAAATAAAATAAAATAATAATAATAATCAAAGCACCATAAATGAAGTGGTTGTTTCTGATGAAATTGAATATGTGTATAGCTCATACACAGATAATAAAAGATTAAAAAATCATATTACCTCTTCACGGCTCACAACCACCCATTGAGTGTTCAAATTAATAGTTGGTCGAACCACCCCTGGCAGCAATGCATGCTTGAATTTGTCAAGGCAAGGAGTAGTAGAGGTTCCTAATGTCATCCTGCAACATATTCTGCCAGGCATTCATCAGTTGTCGCTCCAGATCTGTGATATTTTGTGGTGCCCGAATCTGGTGGCCTACTATGTCCCAAACATGCTCGATTGGTTAAAGGTCTGGTGACCTTGCTGGCCAAGGAAGAGTATCAAGCGCATAGAGACAGTCCAGAGATATGTGAGTAGTATGTGGCCTGGCATTATCTTGTTGGAAAATGGTCCAAGGATGACGTGCCATGAAGGGTAATGCAACCAGCCGCAGGATGGTATCAACATATCGTCGAGCTGTTAAAGATGTAAGGAGGATGACTACAGATGACCTGCTGTCATAAAAAATAGCTCCCCACACCATCACACCAGGGGTTATGGCTGTATATCCTTTGTAAAACAAAGGCTGATTGGGACCGCTGGCCCCGTCCTCTCCAGACACGAACACGGCAGTTTCCTTGTAGCAACCATTGCTGCCAACACCTTTGCACAGCAGTGTCTGTACGCTGCAGGTTAGGGCCTATTGCTCTGTATGACCACCCAGCTTCACGCAACCCTACAATGTGACCAAGTCTAGTTGTCTGTAAGGTCTTCGATATCGTCGTAACGGCCTCCTTAGTTGCTTCTTTACAGAATTACAATGGCAGGGGGAAAAAATAGCCTCTGTTACTGGTTTTATACTTTGCGAATTGCGCACTAGAAGTGTGCGCTATGATCGCAATTCCTGTTCATTTGCCTTGAAACTTTGATCATTTGCATGTTCGATCAAGATGTTTTTGCATACCAAATTTTGTCACGATTGTAAAAGTCCTTCTTGGTGTTTCGATTTGTTTGCAAAAGAGTGTATATAATCTGCTCTAACATACAAAATGTTAAATGCAGAAATATGTCTAAGATAAAATGCATTTTATTATTCGTTTTTAAAGAATATTTTGCATTTGGTATAACAGTAAATATTAATCTTTAACCTTATATGCACAAGTTCTTTATACAAATAAATTGAGAAGAAAATGTATTAAATTTTTCAACAATGCATTAGATTCAGTAATTTCTGAAGAAATTGCAGAAGTGAATTTGACATCTGATTAAAAAGTGTAAGAAAGAAAAAGAAAATGAAAATTTGGTAATTGGAGCAAAAACAAGAAGATTATATTTAAATTATGCCCAGCTGAATGAAAGTGAAGTAACATTATTTTTTAACTCAATATATTTTTAATAACTTTTTAGATATATATGTATAATTAAATTTAAATATATATAATGAGGAGTGTATCCTGAATTTTTATCAAAGGCTGCTGCTAAAGACCATATTTAAAAAAAGGTTATATTAATGACTGGAAGTCTGAATTTTGTATATTTTAAAGTTTGACTGATATTTATGTATTAATATATAATTAAGGGTACTTTTTTGCTACAACAGCCTTCGAGATTGAATCGTCAATCAACTGAGATATCTCGCCAAAATCTGGCTGTATGTTCATGCGATCGTATATTAGCACGGGCATTTTTGAAGATGTAAAAATGTTCTTTGTGCATCAGTTATGGAATAGTTTTGCTGTCGGTTGGGATCTATGCATACACAACACCCACTTTCTTTTGCTTCTGCCAAGCATTCTTACCTGTATGGAAATTAAAATTCCCACCCAAATACTCACTAAAATTCCTCCTGTCAAACAACATCAAACTTCATATGTATTTAGTAAGTAACACTTTGATTCTGCAATGCAGTGTCATTTAATGTCAAAAATAGGACAAACTTCTCATGCAATCATGTATTCACAATGAAAAATTCAAAGACAGAGCTAATTATAGGCTTTTTATCACCTGGTGCAGTTTCTGTTGTTTTTAATTCTTTCACCCAGTACCTCCTTAAACTCTAAAAATTTTGATGCCCCTAAATTATGCCATCCTCTTTATCTGTTCGGGTTCTAGTGTCAACCCTGGTTCAAAAATTTTATTTTTAATTAATTAAGGAAGATCAAAATAGATCTTTCATTTCCAGGTTTTTTTCAGTTATTAGTGATCAGTGAACAGGAATTATTCTTTTTATAATAATTAGTTTGAATTGATTAATTGTAAAATGTATTATAATTTTTTTAAACAGTTTTGAAAATGCTAATATAATTTTGTAGAATTCCATGTTATTCTAAATGTTAACTTCTGGAATCATGAGAGTCAAATGACTTATCATCCAATCATAACTTCTAAAATACAGAAAGTTAAGCTCAAAATCATTTTTTATTTACTCATTGGCTTGATGGTTACACAATCTAGTAACAATAACAGAAATCAAATCTCTACAACTTGTGAGAATTTCAAATCAAAATTTAAATATCAGGTAATAAGTGCTTTAGCTCAGTAATATTAAGCAGCAGTTATAATTAGAAAAGCTAAAGTCAATTCAAGTAATATTTAATTGTAATAATTTTTAGATTCACCTATCTCAATGTGTTGATGTGATATTTTGTAACCCAAGTAATAAAGTTCTCTAACCATAGATTTACATTACAGTGCATTTACTCAGGGTTGCTGCTTCTTGTAATAGTGTAAAAACTTCTTGCAAATTCTCAGTGCGCTCATTAATCATATTATTGATTACAATTAAGTCATTTAGGTAATAACTTTCTCCTCAATTACTGGTGCAGTGTAAACTGGATATTTTGCTATACTATTTAGCTTCCTGTAACTGACATAGAATTCTCGTTATTTATGGCCTATAGGTCTGGAATGAATTATACTTTTTTTGATATAGAATCACTGCCCTAGTATAGAAACTACTTCTGGGAATAATAAATGTGCTTTTAATTATCTCCTTGATATGCTTTTCAATAATTTCATATTTAATTTTGTTGTACCTCTAAGTGTTTTGCCTTATGGGGGGTTATCACCTGTGTCTGTTTCATAAGTCATTATGTGGATCAATCCAGTGTTCTCGTTAAAAATGCAGCAAAAGTGCTTACCAACTTCTACAGCTTTTCTGTGTCTTCTGGTTGCAGGTTTTACAGGTCCAGGACTGGTGACAATACATCTTTCTGTTGAATTACATTCATATCAAGCTGCACTATATCTGCATGAAAATCCTTGTGCGCATCTACCAGCTTCAAAAAAATCAAAACTTAATGTCACATTCACCTGCAAATTCTTCACTATATAAAACAGAACTCAATGCTTTTATTTTTTAACCTGGGTAGCCAATGTCACGTTATCTATGCATTCTTAATACTGACCTTGTGCCATTGCAACTTTTGTTCCCTCGACTTCAAATAACCTGTAAGTTTTCTTGAAGAACTTTGTTGCACAGACATTACTCTGTAGATCTCTGATCTGACTGATACAGTGGTTAGTGGTTCTAGCTGCAATTTTTTGATTTACCCATCTCAATCTGTTGATGTAATATTTTGTAACCCAAGTAATAAAGTTCTCTAGCCGTAAATTTACATTGATTCCCAGATTTGATTGTTGGGCTCAGATTTGATTCCCAGAGAAGGAGCGGATATTTCTTAGTGTTTGTCTGGCATAGGGATTCGTATAAAGTATTGGCCTAAAGGCCTCTTGATTGGTTTGGTGGGTATGGGAAGAGGGGTGGAGACCTTCAAATACATCTTCCAAGTGTGTTCTCCATCAGAATAAGGTTGTTTAGTTAGTGTTGGGGCATTATACCTATATGACCAATGGTGAAATTTTAAGTGTCCTACTTACTTTTGTCTTTACCAGTAATTCTACAAAGGTAATTCCATTTGAAACTACCTACGTATGAGGCAACTCCACACTTTTTAACGCTACTGTAGTTAATTGTATGTGAGAGGTTTTCTCCTTATCCTGGGGTGACTTGCCTCTTTGATCTTCAACAACACTTCGTAGTGTAAAATGACTGGTCTTATTTTTTATTTATTTATTTTTTAACATCTGCTTTCCTATTTCTCTCAAAATCTTTCTTGGTGATTGGCAGTTCATTTATCTGAACTTGCTTTCTGCTGGTGGACATCTAAATTTGTTTCACTAAAGCTTACACTGTAGGCATACATAACCATTGATGCCGAGCATCAATATACAGTGCTGCATTATTTTAAATGTTAACTCTTGGAATTGTAAAGATAAATAATTTATTCAAGATTTATCATCTTATCATAACTTCTAAACTACAGAAAACAAACCTCAGAAGAATATTTAAAATAAACCTTTATATTTGCTAATCAGCCTATGATTACACAAAATAAAAGCAATAATTAGAAATCATATCTTTGCAGCTTTTGCGAGTTTTAGCACAACTGTTCAAGTCAAATTTAAATTTTAAATGCCATTTAAAATGAAGCTTTGGCTAAGTTCTCAGTCTGTCAGGAAGTTGTTACAGCTAGCAAAGCTGATTTAAGTAATTTAGTCATGGGAAAAGTATATTGGACTGATTTTTCATGATAACTGCCTAATGCTTTCTTTTTCTTTTCTTTGCATATATTCCTTAACTAGTTTGTATCCTTGATGGAAGTAAAAGTGAAATTACAGACAAAATGATAAGTTGATGGGTTAATTAACATAAAACCTACAAATTTTATTGTTAAACTTATAAAACATGATATTGAATATAAAATAACTTTTAAAGCAAGCAAAGGTATTTTTGAAATGTCCTCTATATGCAGCTAAAAAAGAAATATAGTCTATAATTATTTTTTTAAATTGATCTTTAACCTAAAGAGTAAACATTTCATTTGTGCTAAACTCTTCTGTTAGTATGAAATGTGTAATTGTTTTAATACATAAAACTATTGACAAAATTGCAATATTTGTAATACTGTTAAAAATTAGTTGTGGAAAAATATTTTTCACTGTGTATAATAATATACGTTTCTTATATATGTATTTTTTCCAGGATAAAAGTGACATTCAAAATCCAATACAGTTTAAATTAACTTATTCCTTGATTCAGAAAGATCCTTTATTTCCTTTACCTGGCAGTCCTTTACCAGATATAAATATATATCCTATTCTCAATCAACAAGAAGCTTCTAAAATATTTGAGGTAAAATTTTTCTAATATTATTTTATATTGTAACTTGAATTTTGATTTTAAAAAATGTGGTATTTTTAATCATAATTTAAATTTTAATTGTTTAATCATAATTTAAATTTTGATTAATTTAAATTGTTGTTTCTTGTTTTAGGCAAAATTTTTGAAAGATTGTGGATCCAATGATATATGCGAAAGTGATTTGGATGTAGTTGTAGATATAAATCTTACTAAGTATGTATATCCATTTGGAAATGAAAATGTATTTAATTTTTATTCTTTAACTATGTAAAATATATTTACAAATAAAAATTTTCTATTTCAGAAGTTAGTTTTCCTGTTACTTTGTAGTATGAATGTAGCATATTCCGTATTTTTGTTTTGAAGTGCTTACAATCCATTTTCAGTATGCTTTGTTTTTAATTTATTTCAATTTTGAACTTTAATATTTATTTAAGCATTTTTGAATGTTAAAAATGCTTAAAGATGCTTAGTGATAAAACTAATAAGCAATAAATGATAAAACTATTTCTCAACGTAGCTAGGTCGGTTTTTTATGTCCATTTACAAAATGAATAAATAGTATTAGTAATATATACTACAGTAGAAATCCAGAAATCCGCAAAGCTTAGGACCAGAGGTTGTGCGATTTTAGGATTTTGAGGATTTCAGGACAGAAAAGGTAAATCATAATATTCAGACTAAAAGTGCAAAATAAATAAGGCGTATTAGATACATTTAATTAAATTATTATGTTATATATATTATTTCAGTAACTTATGCATTAAGTTATTATTACATATATAAATTGGATATATATTATTCATTGTATTATATGTACACAGCATCGAGGTTTGCCGATTTCACCTCATGCAGAAATTTCCGGTTTCGGATTCCAGTGTTAGAATCACTGTTGCTGTAAAATTTCAACAGCTTTTTTATTTTTCCATATATCATATACAATTGTGTCACAATTCCATATGATTCTGCTATAAACCGAGGAGTAGTACTTGCCTCCATCTTTTGCAGAATTTGCACTTTTTGCATTACCGTCAATGCAACATGTTGATGTTTTTCAACATTGCAAGTAGTAAAATCATGAGTGCATTTCTTATCTGTCATTGTATTAAAAAGATCTGAAATTTAAAATATTCTTAATTCTTCGTAATATTCACAAAATATCCGGATTTAAAAAAAAGGCAGCACTAAATAATCTTGTGAAATAATATAGCTCAGAAAATACAACAACGTGAATCGTGAACATTAAAAGTTGAGCGAATTGTCTACTTTTTTACCTCGATGCAGATTAGAGGGGAAAAACTTTTATCATGATGTCAATAATTTGGTATTTCCGTTATGACTCGTTATTATTCGGTAATTATGACGTTTAAATTTGGTAAGTATTTTTTCTTCGATATTTCGTACTCAATGTTGCGATTTCCGGAACCTGTAAACCGAACGTTTATATTTTGAGAGGCAACGCGGATTTCAGGAGTTGGCAGATTTCAGGTTCGCAGATTTTCGGTATTTGACTGTATTACATTGCTGTTTTGCAGTTTGCAAGTATGAATTGCATTCCTATCCAAAACTGACAGAGTATCTCAACAACATTATTAAGTGTATAGTGGCCTCTGAAAAGTAGTTTTGAGCCACTGCATTTTTTAAAAATATATTATGGAAAAAAAATAAGTTAAAAAGAATGGAACTTGCTGAATCCAAATAAATGATTTTTTTTTCTGCTGTAATGCATAAAATAGGCAAATATTAATAATAGTGATTTCAGAAGGGAGATTTTATTGTATTAAAAAATGTTACAACCAACTAAAAAGTCAAGATGAGTTTCTTCGAGCAGTTGTGAAAACACTGAAATTAAATTTAACCCTTCCACTAAGTGGACAAGATCTCTGAATTCTAATACTTTAACGTATGTTCATTTCCTGCAGAACAAACTGAATGCATGAATTTTTATTGCTGTTTCTGCATGCAGCATAAATACAAGAATACAAGCCAGTTTTTTGTGGAAAATCTTAAACAGTAGGATGTCTTCCTTTAAAAAGAAAGTATTCGCATGCTTTGCTTTAATCGGTCAAGTTATTATTCTTTGCATGTTTATATACTTACTAGAGTTAGAAAGATTTATAAAAGTATATACAATAGATTCTATATGAGCTCATCTTGGGAAATATTGAGTTCCTTCCTGTTGGTTTGAAAGTAGTGCTTTGTTTTGCATTAATTGTTAGAAGCTATAAAACATATTTTATGTCATAAACCATAAATAAACATATTTTGTGTCATAAGTTAATGCAGAAACTTGTGCATTAACTTATGACATAAACCAATCAGCACCATTTTATAAAACCTGGATTGCCCTGTATATCAAAAAGAACGTAAGTATTATGTGTCTGTTGAGGTATAAAGGGTATGATATATTTTAAGTTACTAACCAGGTATTCTCCACAGAGTATCACTAACTGCAGTGCATCCATTTGAATAATATATTGGAACAAAAGAGATTCATTTATTACCAAAGAACTAGGTACGCATTTTAAATATACTTAATCACATGCTGCAAAGGAAATGAAAATATTTTGAGGTGGTAGATTCTTTGTTTATGAAGGCTGCTGTGCTAGACCCTTTATATTAGATCACTATTAAGAATGAGTCATTAAAGTTTGATTTCTTTTTAAAAATAGCAGTATTCACATTCTGTACATCATTTCTAGGAACTGATTAGCTTCTTAAACACAAATTACTGAAATCCTTATCTGCTGTAATTATTCTGTTCAGGTACTCGGGATCTTTTTTCCAAAACTCATTGTTAACAGATGTTAATAGGCACACATTTCCGAGTTCATACTGCACACTGTATTAACCTTTCTTAAAAGGTTTCCACTACCTGTACAAACAAGTTGTTCATTCCTTCATCATTTCTAATTTCTTAGTTTGATCATTTGAAAAATATCCTGACTTCTTTTGTGTAACTTTACAATATGTGTTCCAATATACTCTTCAGTGGTCTGGCAATTAACAGCATGTCTTTTACATCTGCTAATGTAATGCATGCTGCAGTCTGACTTTTATAGCAAGCAAAGAAATGGCAAGGGTGTGTTGGCTTTATTTATTTAAACACAATCTGTCTCCATCAGCAACAGTCACAAAAACACTGCCAATTCGATAGAATGTTGCCATTTTACAAACTTTTAGAATGGCTTCAAACACTGCTTATTCGTCAGACATAGCCAGGTTATATTATACTGTCCAGGGTGGTTTATTATTTTTTCTGATTACTGCAACATTGCGTAGTTGATATATATTTCATGACAGTCAAATTAGTCTAGAGAATTTGTGAAGATTATTTTTGCTGAATTAAAATTTCCATGTTTCTTCCATAAGAAAATTAATCACTTGTCAGATGAATTAGGCAGAATCATATGAAATAATAGGAATTATTTCAGGCTTTAAATTTGTGATTCTTTGTTAATGTGCTTTGCATTTTGTGAAAATAAAGCAATTAATTAAATTTTCAGGCAGATTAAATAAAAGAAGCATATGTTTTTCATGGATTTTAGTTAAACATGATTTAGTTTTTCCATGATTAAAATTTCTATGGGGAAACAAAATTAACCAACATGTATACATTAACTTCATTATTCTGTTCAGGTACTCGTATTCTGTTCAGGTACTTCATTATTCTGTTCATTATATAAATCTATGTAGATGATAAATTTTTATTCACAAGTATACTAATAAAAATTATCAATTTATAACTGCATTAATTATTTAAATTTTCATCTTTATTTTTAGAGATGGTCAGGGCAGACCAATTTTATATTTGGGTGAGAAACAAGTTGCGTTATCGGTGAAAGTTACAAATTCTAGAGAACCAGCTTATGATGCTATGTTGTATGTTTTTCACCCTGCTAGTCTGAGTTTTGTAGGAAGAAAGATAGTGGTAAGTTTATTTTTAATGACTGACTAATAGGTTTTATCTAATTTGTTCTAATTTTTTAGAATGTGAAAATTCAACTGTTATCCTCAATTGTATTATTTTGGAGCTGCCATTCCTGTTTAGATTTTGTATTCCTAGCAAGAAATGTTAATATATTTACTAAATACAAAGAAATGTTAAATTATAAACTTTAATATATAATAATCGTAGAAGTTGGGTTCTTTCGTTCCCCTTTTTTTTGAGGTGGGAGGGAATAGAAAATATGTTTGCTGAAATATATAATGAAAAATCTATTTTCAGAATTGGTTTAATGAAAAATATATTTTCATAAACTTTTTTTTTTTTTTTTTTTTTTTGTTTGTTTGTTTTGGGACTTGACAGGTTCTGTTTGATTGTGATTTGTCTGCATGCGAAAATTTGACATTTTAAACTTGTTATCCTGAATTGTGTCATTTCAAAGCTGGCAGTCATATTCATATTTGGATTTTACTTTTCTAACAAGAAATTGTTAATATTATATTTAAAATAACATTGAAATTGAGTTTCCCTTTTTTACTATACTTTTGAATACTGGTAGTTTGACCCAGATTTGAACCCAAGCTATCTATTTGGGTGTTTTTGTGGTTTTCTACATGAATGAAAAATTGAGCCGTTTTCCCTCAGAAAGCCATACATGAAGGTATGCCTTCCTTTAGGCTGATAGTTGACATGTGCTTCCTAAAATAATGGAATCATCTTTCTTTTTTTTTGGGGGGGGTAGGGAATATAGCAAAGTGTTTCTAGTTGTGTAACTTAATTAAAAAGAAAATTTTTGTAAACAGTTTCTGTTTTGTTTTGTGCACAAGAGCTTTTTGTATTTTGTGTTTCTCTTTTGTTTATTTAGAAAGGTGACCAAATTGAATGTGTCCCTTTTAACACCACAGTTGTTACTTGTGAACTTGGAAATCCTTTGAAACAGACTGAAGTGAGTATTAGAGTGAATTCTATTTATGTTTAAAGTAAAATATTTGAGTGCAAAAATTTCTTTTGAAATATTAATTGTTGATATTCTGTGTTGCTATATGTTATTTTGTGGAGTTCATGTTTAACTGATGTTACACTGTAAACATTAATTAAAGTTAAAAAAGGGAGTAAGGAAAGAAATGAATAATTTATAGATAATAATAAAAAAGATCTAATGCTATAATATTGCAAAATTAAATTGTAAGAGAACTGTGGTAATATAAAATTTAAAATTAGGCAAAAAAGCAAACCTTTTTTGCCATAGATTTTGATTAAAACTCTTATCAATTTCCAGGATGATCATATAAAGATCCCTTCTTTTTCAGAAGCAAAAAAAAATTTTGTAGAACATGACAGGAGTAACAATCATTTGATATTAAAAGCAACGGGTAGAGTAAACCGAAAATGAACATAGTACCATATCATATGGAGAGAAAAGTAACGATAAAATGTGACAGATTGTGCTTTTTCTGAACAGATGGCACTACCTTCATTTTCATTGCACTATCACTATTGCTTAATGTAAAATGGTAGTCACGTCTCTCGTTCATTATTTACAAAAATTTTTTTGTTCCATAAGAAGAGAGACTTGTGTTGGATTGCACTCAAATTGGTAGAGTTTTGTTAAAAATTTAAAGAAAGGTTGTTTTCTTGCCAAATTGTAAACTGCAAAATTAGTGTGTCTGAGCAAGTGGACTATAATATGCTATTCATATTTTGTCTGTAATGGCTATGCACTTTATTGTAAGAAATTCATTGTAAATGGCTGATCATCTCTTAGCTCATTCATCATTGAGAATATTATCCAGGATGCATCACAGGAGGTAAACGGTTATTTTATCTGTGAAATATTTATCATAAGGTAATGCAAGCTAGCCAAAAAAAAAAAAAAAAAAAAAAAAAGAAATGCATGTTTTTTGACTGTTGCATAAAAATCTTATTTATAAATTTTAATAAATTTAAGATGACCATTTCCTTATTCAGTAAATTCTGTGCAAAATTTTGATTGAAAATAATGCCACCACAATTTTCAATCATTGCTTTTTCATTATTTGTATTTTCGTCAAATATATTATCTGGTTTCAATTTTTATGAGCATTTTAATTTCCTTAAATATTTATATCATTCCTTTACGTATCTTTTAAGGGGGAAGGCGTTTTAAAAAGTATTAATTTATAATTTTACTTACAATGTTAAATGTTTGTCAGTTTACCTTCTGGTTGATTATTATCATTTGTTAAGTAAGAGCTCAAAAACAGTACTTATTTTCTTTAACGTGATTTTTAGCATGCCTGTCGTTTGATACATTTAAATTGTTATCAAATTTTTAAAATAATATGGGAAAAATAAAATGTGTTTCTAAAACCGTAAAAGAGTTTATGAGTGCATGTGATTACTGTTCACTTTATATTAAATGTTATGTCTTTCAGGTTGAATTGCAAATTAAATTTAATCCAAAAGATGTTGCTGCAGATGAAAGAAGTTTAAAAATTACAGTCAAGGCCAATACGTAAGTAAATTCGCAGAATAGCATTTTAGTACGAAATCCGAAATTGGGGCACATTGAAACTTTGGTTACATTAAATTTGGGATTTTTCTGGATGTTAGATCATCAGTTTAAATCTCATAAGATGACATGTAGAAATTATAAATTAAAAATATAAAATGACAGTTTATGAAATAATGAAGTATTTATGATCTCAAGGGAATCAGAATTACCCCCCCAAAAAAGGAGCTCAGTATTTACTTTATCAAACATTTCTTTCAATGCAAGTTCTTTGAGTTGTTTCATTTTTTATATTAATACATTCTCTTTAATTCTATAAATAGTTATAATTGCTTGTTCAGTTGCAAAAGTCCATTGTTACAAGTCCTGTAACTACTGTGTCGAGAATTTCCATTAAATTGTCAGTCAAAATTTTTTCCTTCTGCTAAACCTTTCTTTCATTTTCTTCACTATTGGAAGCAATATTTTCTGGTTTTAGAACTATACTATAGATTTTACCATCCATTTGATGTTTCTGACATTGTCGTTGCAATAAAAAACTTCTGTTATATCATCTACATTTATAACCACTTCTCCACATTTCTTCACAAATTCCATAAATTGGAGAATTTGCCTTTTGTTTGTGATATCCGAAAATCTTCAAATTCATAGCTTTCATCATAAAGCTGAGATAGTTTTTGCTATACACTATTAGAGATATATAATTAGATTAGCAACTAGAGATGTGTTGTTCTCTGAATTTTCTCCTGCTTCTATCGTGCTCTGAGGAAGTTAGGCCAGAATTACAGTAGCTTAGTTATTCATTATACTTACATCTACTTCCTGCATATGCTTAAGGCTTATTTGAGTCCTGAATAAATAAATTACCATATATACTTAAGGCTTATTTGAACAACAAATCAGTTACTACTAATTCAGACAGCACAAAATATGATCATTTACAAGATCTGTTTTCTGCATATAGAATGAAATTTCTCTAATCATTGTCAGGTGACAGTAAGGGTTAGGATACTGTTTCATATTTAGTTACTAATATTTAAACTACTAATATTTACTAATATTTAAACAAAGGATTGTTTAGACATCGCTCGTGAGTCATTTCTCAAGTTGCTATGTGTTGATATTCAGTGCCATGATGAAAGCAAAAAATAATAAATATTGATTTGCCAGTTTGGCATCAGGGGTGCAAGCTATTTTTTAAGTGTAAAATTAACCATTTTTTGATATAGAATTTTTTGATTTGAGTATGACAAACAAACACTAAGCTGTTTACTTAGTGGGGAAGCAAAAAAGCAGCTACAGATTTAAATTATTGATCATATAGATTTATGCTATTAACTGCTTCTTCAATATGAAAATATTTTATTTAGTGCCGAAGTGAAATAAAGAAGCAAGATTCTCCATGTGTTTTATTATTTTTATTGTGAAAAAAATATCAAATGCAGATGCCTAAAGCATACAAAAATAAAATAAAAAATAAATAAATAAAAAGGGGGGGGACTGGTGGTCTGGAGGACCAAAAATTTTAGATCATTCTGGGTATTGGATTCTGGATTTTGGACTTTGTACTGTATTAACTTTGACAAAGATTGCTATTTTAAAGTGGAATTCAATCTTATTAACATGGCTTGCTTTACATAAAAAAATCAGGAAAGTTATTGCAGATATAAATGTATTTCATTAAAATAGATGAATGTAATTTATAATATAATTTTGATCTTGACCTTAATTCAGTCAGTAGTATATGATGGCTGAAATAATAGAAACTGAGCAGTTTCATGTTTGATTAGTTCAACTAACAGTGTATACCTGCACGTATTACAATTTCTCTGCCCTTGCACATTTTTTCTGATACTGAAATAATTTAATTGAGGTTGGGAAATTTATATTAATTTTTATTTAGAAGTCACATTGTAATGCAATATTAATGTTTGTGCATAATGAATATATAATTTTTCCATATAATTTAAATATATCATTAAAATGCTGCCTGCATTTTTTATTATTGCTGAAATAATGTTTCACTTTTTCTCTAAAAAACAATTTATTATTGCTATGAAAATAAAAGTTAGATAAAATTAATACTTTCTTAATTTTACCCCCATCTTCTCTTGATAGAATTGAGAAGTTGATTTCATACCAATGGCCTATCACTTGAGGTCTTTAAAACACAGAGAATATTAGAAATTTAACAATGGACTGTAATTTAAAAGAGGGGAATGATTAAAATATTGTAATGTACTTTATTAATAAAAAAGTTAATATAGTGCAAAAACAGACACAATACTAATTAATTCTTGCATTGTTTGTATATGTTAAATGTTTTATTTCAAATGTGTATTTCATGCTTAATATTAATTTAGCTTAGTTATTATCAAATAGCTCTTTCTTCTAATAAATTAAATGTTTCCACTTTTATTTGTGTTATGTTTTTAAAGTAGGCTTTTTTCGTAAACTTTTAGAACAAGTCATGAAGTTTCTTCTCGAGAAGATATTTCCATAGAAGCAGGAATAGTAAAAGTTGCTGAATTAGAAATTAGAGGGTAAATTTTTTATTGTATTTTAGTTCTGTAATTTTTTTTATTGTGCTGAAAGTTTTGTAATTTAATTACTATTATTATTATTATTATTATTTTTACCAAAGGGCATCACAGCCAGAGCAAGCATTTTATGGAGGTGAATCTAGTCGTGTACCTGTATATGTTGATGATGTGGGAAGTGAAATTGTTCATATATATGAGGTAATATTTCCAATATAAAAGTTCATTTGCAGGTATAAAAGTGCTGCTTTATATATAAACTTATATTTTTTGAATTTTTAAAAAATATAATTGATAAATTAAAATGTACAGCTTTAATTATTTCAAAAATTGAATGTATTTAAATTGTAGTAAAAGATAATGAACGTAATCAAACAGTATTAGTATTCATTGTTTTTGTATTATTAGTTTACTAACTCAATATAATGTAATATCGATATGTAAAATCAACAAAGCATTAAGAAATTACATGTTCGTATATTCAAAATGTACTTGATTTATAAAAAAAAAGTTTTATTTATTTATTTGCTACAAAAAAAAAAAAAAAAAAAAAAAAAAAAAAAAAAAAAAAATGGATGTCATGCTGTAAGCATTTAAGATTTCATGTTTAGTTGAAAGAGTTGATGAAAGCTGTAAATGCTTTTACTATTGTTGAATTTTTCACAAAGTTCAATTACAGAAAAAATGTCAAAAAGAGTCTTTCCATGATAAATAAAAAGATGAGTAAAGAAGTTCCATGATATGGTAAATAAAAAGATGATTAAAGAAGTTCCATAATATGATAAATAAAAAGATGATTAAAGAAATTCCGGTTGATCTTTACATTATGGTAACTTGGCATTTTTTTGGCGAAAATTTGGCGACCAACTCTCCTACAGCAACCCTCTATTTTTTTTTCCCACCGCCATTTTGTCTTCATGAAGTAAAGACATGTTTCTTTTCTTTTTATCTACTGAACACTTCTTCCAACAATCTACTAGCCGAATTACACTTATGCTAAAAATTTTATCTAACAAAACTGCTTAATCATGACAAATATTCACTGCAAAATTGGGAAAAATTGCACAATACCATACTCTTTACGCGTTTTTCAAAATAACACATACACATAAACCATGTACACGCCGACTTATTTTTTACTTAAAAAAACATCCCAGAATTGCACAAAAATGGCATTGCACACACTCTTCACTATATCCATGTACACTGCTTTTTTCTCATAAATTAGAAAAATTTCACGAAAATACATGTCAATTTTCTCAATCTTTAAACCCGGTAAAAAGAACATATATGAAATTACCTGATCGCGAAAAAGTATTTACCCTTTCCAAATATGAACATTTCCACATATAAAATAAATAAAATATCCAAAAACTTTTACCTCTAAATCATCTATTACATTATACACGTCACCAACGAATTCATACCGCAAGCATTACAAATACTTAGTATCAAATATTTAAATTATTTCCATGCACGTTTACTTCAACTTAAATGTGTACCAAATTCCTACAAACATAAAATTCACAAAATAACTATCATTTAATTAAAATATCACTAAACCATGTACACGTCGACTTATTTTTACTTAAAAAAACATCCCAGAATTGCACCAAAATGGCATTGCGCACACTCTTCACTATATCCATGTACACTGCTTTTTTCTCATAAATTAGAAAAATTTCACGAAAATACATGACAATTTTCTCAATCTTTAAACCCGGTAAAAAGAACATATATGAAATTACCTGATCGCGCGAAAAAGTATTTACCCTTTCCAAATATGAACATTTCCACATATAAAATAAATAAAATATCCAAAAACTTTTACCTCTAAATCATCTATTACATTATACACGTCACCAACGAATTCATACTGCAAGCATTACAAATACTTAGTATCAAATATTTAAATTATTTCCATGCACGTTTACTTCAACTTAAACGTATACCAAATTCCTACAAACATAAAATTCACAAAATAATTATCATTTAATTAAAATATCACTAAACCATGTACACGCCGACGTATTTTTACTTAAAAAAACATCCCAGAATTGCACAAAAATGGCATTGCGGACACTCTTCACTATATCCATGTACACTGCTTTTTTGTCATAAATTAGAAAAATTTCACGAAAATACATGACAATAATCTCAATCTTTAAACCCGGTAAAAAGAACATATATGAAATTACCTGATCGCGAAAAAGTAATGAACATTTCCACATATAAAATAAATAAAATACCTCAAAATCCAAAACTTTTACCTCTATAATCATTCTATTACATTATACACGTCACCAACGAATTCATACCGCAACCATTACAAATACTTATTGTCAGATATTTAAATTATTTCCATGCACGTTACTTCAAACTAAAACGTATACCAAATTTCTACAAACATAAAAATTCACAAAATAACTATCATTAATTAAAATACAATTAAAATTCAAAACACTACTTAAAATATAAATGAGCACATACATTAAATTAATACATACATAAATACCCATTTCGAATTCACTTTAGTTACGGCCATGGGATCCAAAAATTCACGAACACTGTTTCACACAACACAGAATAAAGCCAAATACAAAATTTCCAGATTTTTCCCGATTTCCCCCCTTTTCCGATTAAAGAACCGTAATCCGTCCATTAATATCACATGACATATCCCATGATCTCTCATTTCCCTCACACAAAATAATGCGTAATCGGAACTGAGTACTGCTCACATTATTACCAAAGGTAGTAACCTTTATCGCTTCCAAAATGTCGCCAAACTATCAGTTACCATATTGTAAAGATCAACCGAAATTCCATGATGATTAAGAAAAGTCCATTAGATCAATTACAGATGACCCTTTTTGAGTCATATGAAGCTGTAGGATGCAGTTGGAGCTGTGAATAATTAGACTGTTGAGATTTTTCATCAGGAAGTTTTTGATGTGAAGGAATGATACTAAAGCCTTTGCCAAATCCATGAAAATAATTTTTCCCAGGTCAGGTACAATAATGTTTGTTATGTAGAGACATAAAACATAGAAAAAGCTACTTCTTTGTGGCTAGAAGGAGAAAAAATGTTATTAACATTTAATTTCTTATTAAGGCATGAAATAAAAATTAATGATTTTCAGAATTTCATTGATATGACTTAATGGGAAAACTGCATAACAAGATTCCTAACAATGTAACAGATATTAAAGTAATTTAGGAGATTATCACTATTAATAGTGCTGAAACTTAACAAGCGTTTAGCTTGATAAACAGTACTTTCGCAAGATCTTCTTTAACTGTGGAATATATTTCAGTTTAATGAAAATCTTCTAAAATGGGAAATGTTTAAGAGAATGTAATCTTATCCCTTATTCGAAAATTTTTAAAAATATCAGGACTTAACCTTAGAAACCTGTCATAGGGTAATTGTTTTAAAAGAAGAAGAAACTAATGTGTAGCTGTTTCTGAGTGAATTTTTTATCATTACTCGCTATATTGGGTAATTTCTGTAATATTTTGTAATTAAAAAAAAATTCTCAAATTTCAGATTTTTTTTCCATTTTATTTTATTAGTAACTTATTTATTTATTTTTTGGTACCAATATTTATATTTTCTATCTTTGTAAAAAATAAAGCATTTAACTAGAATTTGATATTTTGTTTATGTGATGAAATGTGAGTCCTTTGTTAAAATTTTGATAGGTCACCACTGTGTATACTCATATAAATTTTAAGAATTGTCACAAAACATTTTACATGCTAGAAGCATTTCAAGTACATATTTGGTCTCAATGACAGAAATATTGTAAATATGAAGAAGAAAAAGTAAAAATTTATTGCATGTAATAAGCTAAGTGTAATAACCTATATAAGTTATTATATAATCGGAATAACCTACATTTATACATTTCTAGCTGTTTTTTGTGTGTTGTGGTTGTAAAAGATATGAGGTGGTAGTAGGTTTGTGTGTACATATCTACAGCTTTGAATTTCCACTTTGTAATATTGTGTATGCTAAAAACTGAATTTTTTGTTTTAAAATGTGACAAAATTTTGTGTAAAAATTCAGTATTTCAGTATTAGTTAGCAGTGTGACTCTACTATGAGCCTGTTTGTATTTCTTACACAGTGTAATTTGAAAGATATGTTCAATTTTATTAAACAATGCCAAATCATTAAGTAAAGTATACATCACGGTAGCAGATAAATTTATATTCTCTGTGTCCATTTTCACCTCTGTGGTCATAAATTATGTAAATTTTAGAGTATTTAAAAAATGAAGGTAAAAGGCAATACTTCTAATATGTTTTTACATTTTCTGTATTGTTTCATATTTATGATATAAAATATAGACCACTGTACTACTAACATTTATTGTGTTCTTAAACATCAATATTTCAACTCCTGATTTATAAAGGCTCTTTATATAAATTTTTCCCCATACAGAGTAATTTCATTAATATATAAGAACACTAAAAACAGTTTGGGATATTACTGATTTTGGCATACTGAAAACTGGCCCATTTATTTTTCATTATTCTCCAATATTACTTTTATGTCCATGTTTTAAAGAAGTATTTATTCATAATTTGTAACATAATCTAAATACAAGTTCTGGCATACTTTTCTAGATTATTAACCATGGGCCATGGTTAGCAACAGGTGTAGAAGTGGTTGTCTCTTGGCCTTATGAAGCTGCAGATTCATATGAGCATGGGAAATGGCTGTTGTATATTGTTGAAAACCCAGAGGTAAAAGTTAAAATTGAAGTTTGTTAAAGATTCTCTTTGTTTATTCGTCAGACGTAGATAAGTATTTGAAATACGTGGATATTTTTATTTTCAATTGTATTTTATATTTAGCATTAGTGAAAAATTTTTAAACAAATCTTTGTTTTTGCATTGAAGCTTCCTAAATATAATTTCTGTTTGTACTAACTTTAGAACTTCTGATATGTTATTAAATTGTTTCATATTATAAAATTTTTACTATTAAACACGATAACAGATTCAACTGAATTTTTTTAAAAATCATAAAAAATAAAAATTTTTACCTGTATGCTGGTTTTAAAATAAATTTTATAAATAAAATTAATAAATCACAGTTTTGTATGAACATAATTGAAGTTTTTGAAAGGAAGAAAATTCATAAAATCCTTCTGTTCTGTAAAAACTTAACTGTTCAGAACACATTTTTTCTTAATTTTCTAGAAAAAAAAATAATTAAAAACACAGCAATTATATTAATAATTCCTGATAAAAATGAATTAGCGTGGTAAGATGCATTCTTGAAGTGCAAAGCATAAGTAAAAACCATAACATTTAATCATCTTAACTTTAGGTATAACAAAAAGGGAGTTCTTTACAGATAAAGGTGAAGGATGCATTTTTTTTTTTTTTTTTTTTTTTAATCACAAGAATGACTATACACATAACCAGAGCTGTGCTTAGGTAATTTTTCATATGAGGTTAAAGAGGTAAATACACATCCCTGTATTAACCAAATTAAGTATATCTGTATATCTCTATACATTTATATGCAATAAAGTTAACTACTCAAATCAACCCTTATAATATTGTTGAACATAATCTTACCTATGCAAGAAAATTATAGAATAAACAATAATACATGTAACAATTTATAATTTTTAAATGAAAACAATAAAAAATATCTTTTTGATAAACAGCAAATGATATCGAAATAATAGAAAAGTATGGCAATTTTAAACATGTTTTTTTTTAACCAAGTCAAACTGACAGTATTTTTCAAAAAAAATGTTGCAAATTCATATATAATTAAACTAAACTGTATTCCCGAATTATGTTTAAAAGATTTGATTTTGATTTAGTAATGAGAATTATAAAAATGGGGTTTTTTAAAACTTGTTATTGTATCTATAATAACAAGTTTTAAAATAATAGAGTATATAGAATATATAGAGTAGTTTTATCAATTATATATTTAAATGCTAAGTTGATCCTTTGTAAAATACCTACATCCCTCCACTTAGGCAGATAGTCCTAATGTGCTTTCCCAGACTCAGCTTAATATAATCTTTAAAATATCTAAATCTGTTAAATTTTTGCTAGTTAGAACCTGGAAATCAGAAGACATCTGATATCTTCATTTTAGTTTTGAGATTAAAGTATCTATAATTTGTTTCTGCTATAAAAAATATTTTTTTTGAAAAATTAGTTCTTTTGCCGATTAATTTTTGACACTGTGATTTCTTAACTTTTTGTGTTAACTTCTTTTGTTGAAACTTCAATCAATTTTGAGTACTTGAAAAGTTTTTCAATTGAATTTGGATTCGTTTTTCACACATTGAGCTTTCTTTTACCCTCTATTCAGAAAAAGAGGTTTCTGTTACACCTTTTTTTTTCTTTCTGAACTGTAATTCCCCTTCATAAGGTAGTTAAGAAGAGGTCAGTTCCTGAGTAGTTGTGTATTATAATAAATAACTATATTATTTAAACAATTTTTTTTCATCCAGTGTAATTCTAGGCTGTTGTGATTTACTTTAAATGCTAAAAGGATAATGCTTTTTATGAATAACATGTTTTGTTATTAATTTATTTTGAAGAATGATCAGTTTTTCCTGGAGTTTGATATATCTTTTTTAAATACCTACCTACTTTGTTGAATGGGTGAAATGCATAATTCCTAAATATATATTTTTTCATTTGCTACACAATAATATGTAAAATAAATTATTATTCTGTTTATAATTATTGTACCATATTTTTAAGGTTAGTCAGAAGAATCATTTTATTTGGTTCTCAAAAGTCAAGTAACAGGGAAATTAAAAGTTGAATTTCACAGGAACCCTGCTTTTTAACGTATACAGTTAGATGTATTAGTGCTGTTTTTTCTAAAATTTATTAATATGATCTAAATTATAATTAATATATTTACTATTTTAATACTAAAATAATAAATACTAAAATAATAAAATAATAAATATATTACTAGGTAATTGGCAATGGTTACTGTGAATTAGAGCAAGCACACCTTAATCCTTTGAAGTTAAAGGTTAGTAAAAATTCTGTTATATATTATTGGAGATTATTGAAACTGAAAGAAAATACTTGATTTTGCTGACAATCTAATTCTGTATCTGAACAGAAACATCTTGAAGAACTGCGATATGCACCACAGAGTTCATACAGGAAGCGTGCAAAGCGAGAAATAGAGCCACAAGAATTACGAATGGATGGTAAAATTGTAAAAGTAGTTAGTTTGGTAAGTCCTTCAAACTAAAATATATGTATAATTGTATTAAAAAGTACTTGTATATAATAATTAAATATTTACTAACTGGAATATTTGTAAACATTGGTTTCATTCAATTCCCATAAAAAAGAAAACAGTTTTTCTCTTATAGTAACATTTATAAACCATTAGAATGTTAAAAATTTTTAAACAGATGTTTCATAGCAAGAAGTAATTTCAGCTGATTTATAAATAAACATCATATATTTTTTTAATGTCCATAATGTTACATATTTTTTTATTGCTAATATATTGACAGCAGTGCTTTAAATGAAATATTTAATGTGTTCATACTTTTTATTTTAAAATCTTTACTTATTGTTTCTATTATTCCAAAGATGGTTCTTCTGTTGGACTGTTATAATATTCTCTTCTGATAATAAATTGTTCTTTCGATTATTTAATTATCTAATTTTGTTTCTGCCTCCTTTCTTTCTTTTAAAATTGTTGTCCTTTTTTTTTTCTTTTTATAAAAGTATAGTATATTTTTTTTAAGACAACACATGCACATCACCATAAAAATAGTGTATTTTTTGGTGGTGATGTGTGTGCCTGATTTATCTTATTATTTTTTTTATTTTATTTTACCTTAATTTGAATTTCTAATTATTTTTAAACATTTATTTTTTTCTGCTGTAACAGCTAACAAATGTTTCTAATAATGATTATTGTTCAATTATTTTCATAAAAACTTTGTTTTTCCCCCCCTAATGTTTCTTTCTCTTAGCAGATTATGCATACCTATCTATCTCTTCTTATATCTATGTCTGTCTATCTACATTTACATTCATCTGCATGCATAGGGTGTTTGAAGAAAGTGATTACAAACTGTTTATCCCTGTAAATACCATAGGCATGTATGTGTAACATATGAATAGAAACTTTTTTTGAGATTATCTTTAACAGTGGTCACATATAAGCAGTATAAAATGAAATACAAGCAAATAAAAAATTAAATTTCTCATATGATCTCCATTGAGCAAATAGTTCAATCAAATTAATATTAGTTATAATGAGTTAAATGTGAAAGGTGTTTTATATCCTTACATGCAAAATTCATTGAGGTATTTTATAAGCAATATTTTCTTGATACTAGCTACAAATTTTTAACTATTGATTTAACCTGTAAGATGCTCTTAATTGCTGGTTTTATTTTGTAGTTGCTTCCTCAAGTTTAAGGAAATATGAAATTTTGCTTTAAAATGTTAAAACATTATCTAAGTCAATGTATTTTTTTCTGACACCTGCAAGAATTTTGTATGGAAAAGTATGAAATTTTTTATATTTAACTTATCAAAACATAATGAATAATTGAAATACTGGATGAATTTTTTTTTCAGGTCATATAAAAAGTTAGATTTTATATTTTAACAATTTGAAAACAAGTGTGTGGTACCCCAGATGGTATAGTGGTTAGGGAAGCCGACTGCGATCCCGAAGGGCCCAGGCTTGAATCCCGGGAAGGGGATGGATGTAAATTGTGTATTCCTTCATAGGATGTAACAGTGGCCGCTTATAAATACCTAATATAAATACCAGAAGTGGTGGCCTTCATAATAAAATGGCCACCACTTCTGGCCTTAGTAGTACTGAAAGCCTAAAAATGGCTAGAGCCCACCTTTAAAAAAAAACATATTTTCATAACTTTTCCCTCCACAATGTTGAAACTGTCTACCGTAAATTTTTTGCCTTACTTTGAAAAACTTTGTAATTGGAAGTAGGAAGGTTAATATGTGAGGAGTTGTGCTGGTTATCACTTGTTTAGATACTCTATATGTAAATTAATGTATGCAAATTAAAGTCATTTTAAATTCAACACTATCTATTATCCACCTTAAAGAGTATCTGCAACTGTATATTAGTACGTCATCATTGTTACATCATTGCAATAGAACATGTGCCATAAAGCAAACATTATAAAATAAAGTTATGATTCATTGAAAAGTAACAGCATTTAAGCCTCTACAAAATGCATAACAGGATATTTGAGAGCAAGTGTAAGCATGTGAAAATATTTTCGATATAAAACTAAAACCCTTAGGCACCATTTTAAGATTAAGCAAAAAAGCAACCCTTGATTCCTATAGATTTTGAATAAGTTCTATTGATTTTGAGGATTATCAGACCCAGATTCATTTTCTTCAGAAGCAAAAATACTGTACTTCAAATTTTTTGCTTCTGAAGAAAAAGCATATTTAACACATTTTATAAATTAAGCTACAAAAGGTATCAATATGTTGATAAATACCAAAACGGGAGTAAAAGTAATTTTTTATATTCATAAACTAAAATGAAATACTTAACAGCTGAATAAAAGGTTGACCACATTCCCCTTCTGAAGCTATAAAACTCCCTTCAAGAGAGAAATCCTTCTGTTGAGAACCACTGTTCTAGCTAGCTACAAGAGAAAACTGTTCTAGCACAGTGTATCTCTTGTAGCTTTTAACTCAATATTAACACCAGAAAAAGAGTTTATTTAGATTTATTTTTTGACACATTTGATGATCATTTGAAGCCTGTGCTCCAAGTAATTGCCTAAATAGCCCCTTCTTATTCTGGCATGATGATAGTAATGTGCTTTGAGATGTGAATTCTAAAACTTGCTCTTTATCAAGATTGGAATTTTCAAGATTTTGTAGTTCTAAATTAATATATAAATTACACAGTAATGCACGTATTTAACTACATAAGTGAAAGTTCTTAGTCTTTACTAATTTAGAGGTGTGGATCATGAAAGTGGCATAAAAAAATTCAGTTGGCTGTCATTTTGATGTAACAGAAGAGGAAGTGGATGTTTAGCTATCACAATCTAATGATAGGAATCTAAGGTAATGAAGTACTGTTGAGGATCTGGCAATATTGCATAACATGTCAGCTGATGGCGGCTTGTAATATGTAATCTTGTATCATGGCAGCATTGGTGGAAATATGCCCCAAATAATCATTTAATAAGATTAATAAAGGTAATTTTAATGAGGTATAAATAGCATCCTTCAATCCTTGTCACATGGTGGGTTGCAGCTACCAAAAGCATGAAAAATGCGTATGGAAACAAGGAAAATTAGGGCGCAAAATGAAGAACTAGTATCATTGTAAGGAGGCACACTCCAGTCCACTTGTGTTACTGATTTTAGTTGAAATTAAATATAAAAATACAGGGATAATTCATTTTTGTCAATAGAGCTGGAAAAAATGATCCTCATCGTTTGAAAGCTACAGCAGTTATGCAGAATTCTCAAAACATGGACATCACATAGCTTATAGGTGTTAAAATGTAATGTGAATTTTGCTGTAACTTCTAAGCAAGTGTCAGTATTAAAAAATAAATTGCGTATTCGGTATTCCGAAGGTGAAATTTAGTTAGAAAAAGCTTAATTTATTTCTTCATTTCAGTTATTCTGAATACTCAACAAGCAAATGTTACATATGGATGGTAAAATGTCACATATTTTTACTATAACTTTTGATAAGAAAATTGCCCAGAATATGAAGTTTACTATGAAAGAGTTTATTTCATCTCTGCAATGGAAGAAAAAATTTTAATTCATAGAAAACTGTTATTAATAATTATCTGAAAGTAATTAAGAAGTGCATTATTAATTTAGAAGTCAAAAAACAATCTTAATTAATTGCATTAAGTATTTAATGCATGGTAATTAAAAGTTTGTTTTTCCTTTTTAGGATTGTGATGCTCATACTGCTAAATGTTTCCAATTTACCTGTCATTTTAAAAGTTTAGAGAGAGACAGTACTGCAGTTATAAAAATTAAAGCAAGGCTATGGAATAATACTTTTGTAAAGGTAATGAATGAACGTGATCATTTTAAAGATCTTGTGATTTAGTTTTTTTTTAATCAGCTTTTTCTTATTTTGAAAATGAATTGATATATCGCATCTATTAATCTATGCAAATTTTATATTATAGGATTATCCAGATGTTGATTGGGTATCAGTGAATTCCAGAGCTCTTATACGTACTCTTTCAGATGATATCAAACAAGAGGATGATGATGATTTTGCTTTTGTAAGTTTGCGTCTTGTTCCTTGATAACCTTCCAGAAATAAGCCTTGAATGTTTTACAGAATTAAAACAGTTCAATTGTGCTTAAAAAATTATGCAATAAATTCACAGATGTGTTTGTCTAACCTTTACAAAATTTAAATAAAAATGTGAAGAATAATCATTGTCTGAGAACTGAAGGTTGTGAAATATGTAAGCGTGCAGTAAAATGATGTAAACACTAATCTGCCACATTTAAATTAATATGTTTACTTTTAACATATGTTGTGTTTAAATGGAGTTTTTGCACTTTTTACAGCATTAAAAAAAGCTTATTGTTTTTAACTACATATTTATTTAATGTCTTTGTATTATAATAGCATCTTTTTCTTGGTAATATGTTACTTGAGAAATTGTTTGAATTTAATTTTAAGCACTGTGCTAGAGTGGTTTACTTCCTGAAAAGTTGATATTGTTATTAATTAAATGATGAAAGGGAATTTCAACCATAAAGAAATGGGGATTTCTGTTTAAAAATGTTGAATTGTGCTTATCTTTAAGTACTTAGATCTTTATTTTTATTACTGATATTTGGTCATTTATATTGATAAACTCCTCTGTCCAGAAGGTTCACAAAAAGCCATGCCACAAGTTTGGCTGTTAAGAGACCATTGACATATTCTGTGTTATAGAAATGAAGTGACATCATTCAGAATTTAAGCTTCAGACCAGTATGATTAGAAATAGATACCTGTCGTACAATAAACATCTTAATTGCCAGATTTGTCAGTTTTTGATCCTGCTGTTCTCTCTTATGAAGATTTATATCATCAGTATTTTTAGACATTTGAAACTATCTGAAATGACATGATAGCCAGTTTATGGAGACATTTTGCCATTACTTTGCCTTAGCAAGTATATGAGTAATATCAGGTGTACTGGAGCAAGTATATGAGTTTAGATCAGTGGTTTTTTAACCTGTTTTGCCCCCCCCCAAAAAAAACAAAAATTATAAAAATCTGAAAAAAATAGGTTTTTATAGTTTTTGGTTTAATTTCACTTTTCTGTAATTCTTATTTTACATATTTATAGGATATTTTGAAATTTATTAATATTGTATTTCACTTCTTTTGGGTATTTGTGTAAAATTGGTTCTAAATTTCTTACTTTTTATCTCTCTCTGTATAAAAAATTAAAAAAAAATAAAATAAAAATAATATATAAGGGTATCTTCATTTTTTAAGCTGTTTTTCAATTTTTGGGCAAAAATTATTGTTCAGTGACACAAGAACAAATATACTTTTTTTTTAAATCCTAAACTTAATTTTTAAAGCATAGTTTATATTTTTATTTTCTATGTTATTATTTCCCTCCCAATTACAAGTTCTCTTTCTCTTTCTCTCTCAATAGGCTGAAACTAAAGCTTATCCTGATATCCATTTATATCAAAAACCTGAAGAAGTTGCTTTATGGATAATCATTCTTGCTGCTTGTGCGGGGGTATTACTACTTGTAATACTTATACTTATTTTGTGGAAGGTAAGTAGTTTTTATTGCCAAATATTATTTTATATGACATTAGTTTTTTTGGGGGGAGGGGTTGATCTAGATAAAGTTACATTTTTCACAACTCTAAAATATTACGAGGGTTGGAACTTTAATAGTGGCAACACAGCTGAAAAAACACTATGCAACAAAACCAAAGAATATCGCGTATACCACACGTAAACTACATACCTACCTTACCTCTCAGCAAAAAGACTCATCCTGCCTACGTCACGCGCATGTGGAGTGACGCGAAGAATGGATCCTTGTATTAGCTCGCGGTCTAAAGTAAAGTAAGTGTTGTCAGGATGTTTTCAAAACAAGAACAACGATGTTGGATAAAAATTGAATGTGCCAGAGGTCATACAGCACGACAGTGTCATCAAGGGCTTCAAGAGGCTTGCGGGGAATCTGCATTGCCTTACAGAACCGTAGCAAGATGGGTGAAAGCATTCAATGAAGGAAGCCAAAACGTGGCAGACATGCTGCGGCCAGGTCGTCCGAGTGTCAGCGATGCAGACATGCAAGCTGTTGCCGCACTAATGGACAGTGATTGCCGCCAAACGATTCGTCAGCTGGCTGGACAAACAGGATTAGCACATATGACTGTGCTGCACATTCTGAAGGAACGCCTGTCCATGAAAAAAATTGCTTCACGATGGGTTCCACATCAGTTGACGGAAATGCAGAAATGGCTACGATACGATGCTGCCCGAGCCTACCTGGAGCACTATGAGCGCGAAGGAGATGCTTTTTTACGCTGGATGAGACTTGGGCCTGAATGCACCAGCCAGAACCGAAACGCCAATCAAACGGCATCATCACAGGTCACCTCGACGTTCGAAATTTCGTCAGAACCACAGCAATGTGAAAGTTATGGTGATTCTCGTGTACGACTGTGATGGTGTCATCCTAACGCATACTGTTCCCCCACAGCAGACCGTCACTGCACAGTATTACTGCTCATTTTTGGAGCACAATCTCCGACCAGCTTAGAGAAAAAAACGGCGACACTTTCTGCAGAACGCTCCTCTCATTTTGCATGACAATGCTCGGCCACATGCAGCGCAAGCTGTGACTGATTTGTTCAAGCGATGGGGCTGGGAAGTGCTTTACCATCCACCATACTCCCCAGATCTAAGCCCTTGTGATTATGACTTAATTCCTAAGATGAAGGAACCACTTCGTGGCACTCGCTTCCAAACTGATCCTGAGATTCTTGCGGCAGTAGACCGGTCCATTCAAACTATCAACAAAACAGGCACTGCTACAGGTATTCTGAGACTTCCACATCGTTGGAAACGGGTTGTACACAATGCTGGACTGTAAAACGGGATTATATTGAACGGGATTATATTGAAGGACTGTAAAACATAGTCACATGAATCACTTTTGTATTCCTTGTAAATAAATAGTTGCCACTATTAAATTATTATTATATTAAAGTTCCAACCCTCGTATATGCACTAAAAATAGATTAAAACATTTTGTATTAATTAAAAAAGTTTACATGCTGTGCTTGGCAGTTTTATGATCATGATCATGAGCGTGAGTGAAGAATTTAACCTCAATATCTGCTGAGCAAGACCTTCCCTCGATCAGAAAATGTGTGTCCTTGTATTGGCTGTTGATGGCAAATATATTTTATTGTACTTTTAAATTTTAAGAATGTAAATTTCATTATAAAGCAAGGATCATTAATTTTTTAGTGGTCAACAGAATATTTTTGAGAAATGTTGTATTCATACACTACATTTTTCTATTTTGCATTATAAGTTGTCTCCCATATGCAGTTTAAAATTAGACAAAATCTAGCCTTAAATTAGTAATGGTTTTAATTAAAATTAGATATATGGATGAATTTCAACAACTTATACCTATCAACAACTATACTACAACCTCCTGGAAATCCTAATATCTGTTTTTATAATATCTCTATTGCAAATAATGTTTGCTGAGAGATTACAGTGCTCATAGTATAAAACAGGATTATTGTGGATAGTAATAGTGGTGGCAAAGCAAATGATCAGCCACTAAATGTGGAAAGACTGGAATATAATTTTTATTCTACTGCTACTCTATCACATTCTCATCATGATGTAATCAGCATTAATCTTTATAATCAATTGACATAACAAGGAAAGCTATTAAAGAAGTTCTAACGCCCAGGTTCACACAACATCATGGTGAACTACACTAATTAATCACAGCTATTAAATTTATAGTCAAGGACATACAAAAGTGTCAGCTGTAAAGAACACTGATTCTAGAAATAACTGGAATTTTTAAATTGCATATTGGAGAAAAATTAATGATGTGTTGGAATTTTTTTACATTATGTATTTTTAAAAAAAATAATTAAAAAATGTTCAGTAAGAAATCATAATGAGATTTTATTCAGTTGTATGATGGGATAGCTTTATCTGTTTAAGCAGTTGAGACTCGACTGTCTCTGGAATTGTTATTAGCTCCCTCCCCCTTCTGTAATATTTACAGTTTCTTTGAAACTCCTGATGGATAGCTGACATTTGCATCGTTTACCAATGACCTCGTTATGTTCTTCCCAGACTTCTAAGAAAATCTACACAGAGCTTTTTTAAATCTCCATGTTCATTAACATTACTAATCCACAAGCCAACATATACTATACAATAGAGAAACACGTGACCAGTCCCTCCAAAAGAATCAGGCAACCAACAAAATTTGGCAAAATGCCAATCAAAGCTGAATATTTCCTTTAATTTCCTCCAGGCTGAGTAAAACCGCGATAAAACAATTCATACTAACAAATTCTGCTTCACCCGAGTTTTCACGGGATAATAATTAACTGCAGTATATACGAACCCAAGATAACTCGGGATAATCAGGCAAGCGGTTAATTTGCGTACATTGAATTTTACACTTGAATTGTATGCTAATACCTTACCCGATTAGGAGAATTTATGTTGTAAAAATAAGGATTAGAGCTGAAAGTAGACTGATATTGTAGAAATATTAGTTGAAGTTACCTATAAATGCATTTACTGAACTGTAACTGAGTACAAAACATGTATTTTATACTCAGTTACAGTTGTAGTAGTGTGATTTAGATTTAGACTCTGAATAATTCAATTAAAGAAAAAAGTTCAAGTTCAAAATCAAGTTCTGTGCCATATTAAAGCAGTTATCAAGACTGCCTCTATTGCCACTATGCAGATTCTTTCAGAAGTTGATCCTGTTTAAAAAAGAGGAAAGAAGAATTCTCTTTTATATTAAAAATTTTAAAATAATTATTATTGAAGGAATTAAGATGCTAAGAAATAGAAGATTTTAAAATTAATGTGTGTTTTATTTAACATGTAAGATTTTTGACATAAGTTGATGTGCTTTTTGGATTTTATAAATCTGCATTGATTTGGAATTGAATGCAACAGTTAGTAAAAATGGAGTGCCTGATTTATGGGTTAGTGTGTAACCATGGAAATTATTTGTAATAAAGATCCTTGAGAAAAATACTTTACATACACTGCTCGACATTGAAAATGCAACACCAAGAAGGAGTGGTGAGAAATTTATGCAAATTTTAGAGTAGACGTACGTCACCGAGTTATGCAAATGATGTGAAATGTGCAGCTCTCCGAATGCTCGTGAAGTAAGATATAAGGAAAGGAACGTGCAGAATGGGCAATATTCATGTCGCTATTTCTGCCATACGAATTATCGATGAAAGTTGGTTTTTGACCTGGAGGATATGTGTAATAGGAGAGAATGCCAGGCCGCCGTCAACGAAGGCACTTCCAGCAGATAGACAATTTTATGAGGGGTATGGTGGTTGGACTGAGAAGAGCAGGTTGGTCCTTACGTCAAATCACAGCTGATACCCACATGGACGCGAGCACGGTGCATCGGCTATGGCAAACATGGTTGGAACAAGGAAATGTGGGAAGAAGGAAGGGTGCAGATGCAGCCAGCGTGACATCAGCACGTGTGGATCGACGCATCCACCGACAAGCTGTGGCAGTCCTCCAAATCAGTTGTACCACAATTCTGCAGCATGTGCAAGATACCCTGGATGTCCCCGTGTAGACCAGAACCATTTCCCGTTGATTGGTTGAACGGGGCCTGCACTCACGGTATCCGTTAAGAAGACTGCCATTGACCCCACAGCATAGACGGCAACATTTAAAATGGTACCGGACTGGAGCAATGTGGATGACAGAATGGCGAAACATGTTCTCAGATGAGTCACGCTTCTGTTAATCCAGTGGCAGTTGCCGCATATGCGGCAATGGCGTTGACATAGAGACAGATCTAACCCGGCAGTAACTGTGGAACGCCCCCACTGCGCGACAATATGGCAAAATGGTTTGGGGCGCTATTGCCTACGATTCCAGGTCACCTCTAGTTCATATTCAGGGCACTATGATGGCCCAACGATACTTGGATAATGTACTGCAGCCTGTGGTAATCCCTTACTTTCAGGGGCTGCCTAATGCAATTTTTCAACAGGATAATACCCGACTACACAGTTTTTGCATCTGCCAACATGCTCTGCAAGGTATACAGGTGCTTCCCTGGCCACTGTACTCTCCTGACCTGTCACCAATTGAACGTGTGTGGGATGTGATTGGATGCCGTTTACAGACTCTGCCCCTGCCTCGTTCAGAAGACAAACTGTGGCAAATGGTTGAAAGGGAATGGAGAGCCATCCCTCAGGACACCATCCGCACTCTTATGACTCTATGCCTAGACGAGTTTCTTCATGCATTGCCGTCCATGGTGGTCCTTATTAGGGGGCTGCTGTCATTCCACAGTGGCAATCATATTAATTGCCATAAACAAGCATCGCATAACAATTCTGTCATGCAAAAGTAGGGCAGCATTGAGAGGTGGCTGGCAAAACAATTCTGTGTACGGATCCAAACTTTGGTGGCTTAAAAAGAAAAATGGAAAAGCCAGTCAACTGCCATGAAGGGGCCAATTTTATTGCAAAAGCATAACAAGGCATGCCATTTCACTTGTCAAAACTATTTGTACATCTCCATTTCGAGAAATTTCAGTAGTCACAGACTTCCAATACAGCATTGGAAAAACTTTACTCCAATACTGAAGTTTCTAGAAGATTTAATATAATATAGCAGTATCCTGAATTCTGGTGGGGACTGTGTGCATATAAATGTACTTATTTAAATTTGGACGAACAAAGATTCCTGAGTATATATTTATGTAGCAGAGCTTGGTTAAGAAATTTCACCCCCCTGGTAAATCTGGGCACAAGGACTTCGTAATGGGATCCTCTTTAAAATGGTACTTTCTATGGCATGGTCAGTTTGTTGAATAGTTTATTACTGTTAATCACTTTGTTTCAAAAATAAAAACTGTACGTATTTATGTAACATTTTTTTATGCAATTTGTTTTAATTATGTTTTTTTTTTTAAGAAAATACAAACCATTAAAAGTGTAAATACTTCTTACATTAATTGCACACATTAATTACACTGTTTAATTTTTTCAGTTATAAATTTAGTAATTTTCACTGTATATTTTTACCCATGTAAATTCATTACACATTTTAATTTTAACATTTAATTTTGAATTCATATAAAACAATTTACATTTTTTTTTAAGTATTTTTTTATTTTTAGCATTTTTTTACTTCTTTTAGTTCTTTTTTTTTAATGATTTTAAATCTTTGCACATTAAAAAATTTCAAAGTTTATTTTTGTATTTTTTGATTTGTTTTATCTTTTTAAAAGTTTTCTTTTTTCAAAAGTTTTTTTTGCATTCAAGTTACATTTTACATTCAATTTGCCTTCTTTTTAGTTTTTCTTGATTTGCTATTCTATTTCACCTTGAGTATAGTTTCACTATTTAATTTTCTAGTTTCCAACTTTTGCTTCCCAATGCTTTACAAACAAGAAAAAAAGTTAACAATCTTTGCACCACAAAAAAAAAAAAAAAAAAAAAAAAAAAAAAAAGAAAAAAAAAAAAAATAATAATAATATAATTATAGTTATTAAAGATTTAACTGAATTATTAACAATCAAACTCATTCAATGATCAGATGAAGATATGTAGTGAGTTCTTGAGTTATCTTGAAGAACGTGTGCTTGGGTATGATATTTATCTGTTTTGTATTACTTTCATTATCATATGACTAGAAAGTGTTAATAATATTAGGATAAGAAAAAAATCATTCAGATTTTTTCCAGTGTTTATCTGCAGTTTCATAAAATCCAAGAAAAGGATTCTTCATTAATAATGGGTTTTAAATACCTCTTAAAATTGCAACCAGGTTGTTTTTTTCTTAAATTTTTTTAAAAAAATTACGACTTTGTGTGCAGTTTAGAACCACTGAACGATAGTTGTTTCTGAATGTTTCGAAGTTTGAAGTACCTCAGATTGTCTCTTGAAATGCAGAAATACATATAATCAATGCTAGTGTTTGGATTCTGCTATATTTTAAACTTTTCGTGATCTCTACTACTCATGCGTACTCTAAGAGTACTTGTACCCCATGCACAGTATATTTGTGGTATAAAGCTATGATGCTGAAGGTAATAGGATGGTAAGCTACAGGAAAAGGTTATGTTATATTCATCCTCTGAACAAAAATACCACTTAAAGATCTGTTCTTGACATTTAGATGTCCAAGGAGTGCATATGTATATATATATACTTTAATAATTCATAATAAGAAAATTTTCCATATACCATAAAACTATCCATAAAAGTTAATTAATTACTTTTAATCACTTTATTTTGAATATATATATTCTGCTATTTCTGTGTGTAAAAAGTCTTTTTAATATTAAATTATTAATAATTTACCTTAGAGTTAGAACCGATCATAAAAATGCTTTGTTAATTTTTCTTTTGTTATTTTTATTTCAGTGTGGATTTTTCAAGAGGAAAAAGCCTGGAGAAGGTTATGGACCTGCACCTACGCATGATAAGGAATACATGTAAACTGATCCTATTCTGTGATGTCATCGAAAAAATAAAAGGTTGTGTTTATTGGAGTACAGGAAATATATAAGAAGTAATTAATTTGCAAAATCATGGAATGGTTTACTAATTAATGGAAGAAGTTTGTTGCATAAGCCATTCTGAAACTGTGACTAAGTGCATCATTGTGCCAGTGTTCTTAAAATTGCCTTTTTTAAGGTGTTTTAGTACTGTGATGAACTAGACTAAAGGCACCTGTCTTTCGAACTAACAGTGTGTTCAGAAACCAAATGTGTTGTCAAAAACAGTTAACGTGTGAAACATAAAAAGTCTGCTGCTGAAATGTAGCACCAGGCTAAGAGTTTTTTATAACTTTATTCTACAAAACATGTGATATGTTGGATATATCATACAGATTTTATGCTTTTACTGAAGTAAAATTAAATAATTTTTCATATGTAAGATTTTTTTGAGGACTGTTTCTTTTAACATTTGATTTTAACGAGAAACAGTAAAGTAGCTATTAACTATTTTAAGAACTTATAAAACAAATCATCAGTTATGGTAATCTATCTTTTGGCTGTCTGTGAATTTTGTAAACTGAAAGTTTATTTGAATGAGTAATTATTTTTAATATGAGAATATTTTTAATTTACAAAATTCCTGTAAAAAGAAAACATTTATAGGAATATTCCTTCAACTAATTTTCCTGTGATTAATGGTTATGGATAAACAGAAGGATAATTTAACTGAGCATTGTTTGTTTACGTCATTAATTGTTATGCAGAGTATGCATAACTTGCATTCATTATAGTAAGACAGTCAGCTCTTGAATTGTTTTCAGAATGAATGTGTATTCAACATTTAATACTGAAAATTTTATACTTTAATTAGTTTTTAAATAATAATGAAAAATTTCATTTGTACATACATTTTAAATGTTTTATGTGCATTTTTGTATTTGAAAATTGGCAATTTACATGATAGCCATTCACTTTCTTTTGATGCTATAAGTATTTACCATTGTTGAAGAAGTTTTCATTTTAACTTAGTGAATTAGTTATTTTAAGTTAACATTTTTGCAGTTTGCAATTTAAATAATTTTTTAATGCTTGTAAATAATGAATCTGTTGTGCCTTATCTTGTAGATATCTTTTAACTCCGTACAAATGCAATACGATGAAATTTGTGCGTAGATTTGAAATAATCGATTTTCATTGACAAATTGCTAATTTTGCACATATTGGTCAAAATTATTTAACTGAGTCTACTAAATACAGTGTGATAAATGTATAAGCAAACCTTCAGTTGAATGGATGTTGGAAAGGAGATCTACTGTAGAGTCATTAGGTTATTTTGAAGCAGGAGGCAGGAAAAATGAGCAATGCCCATGCCGGGACTTGAACTTGGACGTCTCGAATGCGTGCTGAGTGTGCTACCACGAAGGCATGCTAAAGAGAGGGAGAAAATACATTATACTACTATATTTTAAAGCTCATTAAATCAGTATGTTTTAAAATTGTATATATTGAATAAAATCTATGGATTGTAGTGTTTAACTTGTTGAATTTATAAAATGTGTATGAAATAATTAAATAAAAGAAATCAAAAAGGCACATATTACGTATTCCATTATGTAAATATTAGTGTTAATTGGATGAATAGCATTTTAAGCCTATAAATTATTTAATATTTTAAGCCCATTAGAAAATACTTTAAGAACTGATGTTTTTCAATGATTAACATTAACTTAGTTTGAGTTCACATAATAAAACACTCAAATGCTACTTTCTCTAGACCTTTTCCCACTGGCCATTTTTACATGTGATCTAATATCAACATGAAAAAAAATCTTGTGCATTATATTTTAAGTGCAAATTGTTTGAAGAGGGTCTCTCTGTGACTTTTGTGAGTATTCCCAGCTTCAGTGTTTACAGCACCCTAAGCAATCAATATAGTTTGCTCTTTATATAAATTAATGTTAATGATTCAAAGCATAAAATATTTAGTTGTCATTAGGGAGAGCAACTTAGCTAGCAAACTCAGAAAATCATTGCCCAAAGCAGTTGTATATTCTGCCTGTTTTGGGAGGCAGCTTCCTTGTAAGCTAAAGCCTAACCAAATTTTAGCAGCTATGATTTTTGTTCATAATTAATTAATCATTAATTATTTCATCATTAAGTTAATGCAGTTTTATAGAACTCCTTTGTGCTTTGTTTATAATAACAAATATTATGCATTTGCAAATAAAAAAAGTCGCAGTTATAAATATAAGAATATTAACAAGTAAATGGAATGTACTCCAATTGCTTATTTCTCTGGAATTTAAAAATGAAGTCGAATATTTTTGGCTGTTAATGCAAAATCTGTTAAATTGAAACTGTGCCATTTTAAAGCACATTACATTTTTTTTAAACCACATTATATTTAATACAAGGATTACATTTTTTTAAACCTTTATGTGGGTAAAGTAACTTCCAATTTAGATTGCATTCCTAAAATATAAAGTTGTATTAAATGAAAGATCCAGGTTTTTGATGTTATTTTTTAAAAAATTAAAATCAGTATCACAAAATTTTGTATAAACAGCTCTGTTAATAGTTGAGTAAATAGTATCTGATTTTAACAAATATATTACAGAAATTTTAGGTGTAGTATGTAGAATGATGTATAACTTAACTATATAGATACATTATTAAGTAACGCATTTTTGGTCTTTTTTGGTATTATATAATCAACACATTATTATAATATTTTATGATGCTAATGTGTTACAGCAGTAATGCCATATTTCATAAAAATCTAAATATTAAAATATTGTGTAACAGTTTTAATTTATACTTGCATATATGTATGTTGTTCTTGATTAACTGCAAAACTATCTGATAATACTGTTAAAAATGAATCACTGATTTCATGAAATTCGCTATTCAAAACTAATTTACATTTTTAAGAAATCGCAGTATTATAAAAGCTACATTCTATGCAAGTCACTGACTGTCTTCAGTTTGACTGTCACTTTAATAATATTTGTAGATAGAACTCTAAACATGATTTATGGTTTGAAAATACATATTTTAAGTATATCAGTCTTTCACAAATTTATTCTTTTAAAATTTTTTTAAATGTTTAGAAAAAATAAATAATAAAACTTAAATTTAACTTTGTTGGAAGAAAGTCAGGTAATTTGGATTAGTCTATACTTTCTAATTAAAAAAAAAATCGGTCTTTAATATATAAAGCTAAAATATATATTGCATGTATATGTAATATATATATTGAATTAATTTAATCGTAACAAGCCATTATCTACATTTTGATAAATTATCTTTGAATTGATAAACAAATAACATAAAAAACTGAGTAAGGATATGCAGGTACTGTCTACTGCAAAAATGAAATAAGTGCCATGTTTTGCAAAATAAAAGGTGATCTGTGTAAATTCTTTTATCCACCTGATTTATGATTATATTAAAATATGTATATATATTTTTTAAAGTGCCAAACTTTTAACATTTAAAGAGTCTTAAACTTGAAAAGCAATTATTATAATTGAAGCTTTTGTTATTACTAAAAGCTTAAGAAATTTTTTATTGCAGTATTTGGACTCGTATTTAAGAAAAAAAATATTTCAACCGAAAATGTGTTTATCAAGTGTAAAATATACAAAACATTCTTTAGAACTGAAATTTCCATTGTTGTTTTACAAATGTATTAAAAAGCAAAGACTATAATTTTTTTATATATTTTATACATGTAAAAAAGAATTTTATTGATATCTAATTATTTGTATCATAAATGTCACTCTTGCATTTAATAAAGATTTATCATCCAAATGTTAGCTTTGGTAACATTTTGTAGTGTTTTTAATGTGAAAGTTAAACATGCATGTTTATATATGCTTGCCCCATATCCGTTGATTCAGTATACGTGTTGCAGTTATTTTCAGCTTACAGCAGTGAAAGGGAGAGAAAGAGGCCACATAAGTTCCAAAACAAGCACCGGGTAACAATGGACCATTTGAAATATCAACTCACAGGCATGCAGTTCTGTCATCTCACAGTAATTATAAGCCGTACATGCCGGTTTCGGACCGATGTAACTAAACTGAGGAAGAAATGGTCACTGTGGGACCTAATATGATTATCAAGCCATAACAGATCATCTGAGATAATAATTTCTCAGATGTAAAAATGCGAAATATTTTCATTTATTTTGCGAAATATTTTCCGTTAAAATCATACCACTAGTTCTTCTTTGTAATTTCATTGGCGTCAAGTGTCACGAATTAGTTGGATTCTTTCTTTTCTATATTTATCTTCAAGATTGTTGCTTGCGCGACTACGTTTTTATTCTAATCAGTTAGGCCGAGTTAAGATTTTTAGATGGCGTAATCACCTAAAAGATTTTGCTGCCGCCACATTCATTTACAGTATAACATAGTCCCCCCTCCCATCTCATCTCCCTCGGTCTTGCTTTAGTAGCAAGTAGCAGCACCCATGCATTTCATGGTAAAACAGAAATGGGACATTTTTGTGGTGAATTCCTTGAATTCCAATAGCTTTTTTGTGATGTCTTAAGCACGTGCTTATTTTGTTAATACTTAATCTAGCTCTGCTTTTATGATTTGGGATTTGCCAACAATTGAAGAAACGGTTAATGAGTATAAAGGTATGAAGAGTAAAAATACAAGGCAGAATAATAAATAATAAGTATATAGGCAAAAAAAAAAAAACAAAAAAAAAAAATATGATAAACAGCTATAGACTATTCCCAGCAGTTCCCGTAAATCACGTATAGTTAATTACTGGCCAATACCAGTGAGGAGGAATAACGAAGTATAAAACCACGTACTTCCACATCAGAAGAGTCAAAATATGTACAGAGTTGGGGAAACCAGAAAAGAAAGAAATGAGTGAAGTACAAGGAAAGCCTACATGACTGAGAAGTAGCAGAAAAAGAAGAGAGACCACTGTGAAAACGGGAGAAGAGACAGGAAAAATCGGAATTAGGTAAAAAAAAGGAGTAAAGAATCATTGGCAATGGCACATTAAGCATAATTTAGCTGTGAAAAAAGACATGAGTAAGTCGGCGGAGTCTTGAGATGGACGGCCAATCGGAGTTAATCATCATTTTCAAAAAAGGCTAACATTATTTGGAGGGCTTGAAGTCCTAAAATAATTTTATCCACTTGAGATTTTGTATTTCGCATTTTTTGAACAATTGACAATATACTTTGCAGAAAATTGAGATTGTTGTGATTTTTACAGACATCGAGGATGGGATTAAGTTTTCCATCTTCAGGGATGTTTTTTGTCTGTAGAAAGATTTTTTCGTAGCAAAGCTTATGGAGGAATTGTCTGGGTTAAATATAGGGAAATTTACTTTAGTTTTGCAGGAGCTGGGTTACTTCATTCGGCTTTCATTTGCATCTCGGCGTGTCTTTTCTGATATTCCTAGCATCCTGTGAAACAGCTTACATGATTTCGTCCGCATGAAATACATTTTGGTTCTTGACTATCCTTCAGGTAGAAGATGAGATTTTCCACTTTACAGCATCTTTCATCGTTGAAGCGTCTATGTTGAGTATGTCCAAACCTCTGGCATTTATAGCACTGTGTTGGGTGGTTCACTTTAGGCTTATAACGTTCGATGGTGACTTGGAAACTTTCTGTTGTTGACAGAAAAAAAAAAATTGAGTTCTCTTCTTAGGAGTTGTCAAGTTCAATAAAGTAGATAGACAATTTAACAGTTCCATTTTCAGTTTTCCTAGTGAACTGCTTGACTTTGCGCACAGGGAAATTTCTATTTGCCATTATTTGAAAAACGAATTTCTGAGATCGTGCCTGATATGTTTCTTATTATTGCTTTAGTAGTACGTTCATTTTCCATTTGGTACAAATGAAATTTAAGCTTATTCTGTTCCAGGAATTGAGCGAATTTACGATAAACTTCTACAGACTTGGGAAGTATGAAAATTGAACCTCTACGTAATTGAGCTTCGAATTCGTTAACACAGATTTTCTGTAGAGTATCTTCTAGCATAATCCAATCCATTTTATCATCAGCCAGAACAATCGGGGGGTGATTTTACTTTGCTGTGCCTCAGAATTAACATCAGTTTTCAGTAGTTTCGTTGTCAGTTAGTGCAGCAAATTTCAATACTGGTTGTATGTACAAGACGTATTGTTAATAAACTTTTAAGTTTTATCTTTTTTTGCGCTCTTAAAGTTTTAGACGTCTAGTTAATTTCAAAGATGAGAAGCCGTCGTAAGAACAGAGGGTTAAACAAAGTATAGTTTAATACTTAATTAGATTTAACCTTACAGATTTAATTGAGACAAAACATGTAAAGCCTTTCTATGAAGGAAAGAATGCTTTCGTGGAGGACTTTTTAAAGTACATTGGCTCGCATTCACGTTACACATGGTGAAAATCATAAAAACGCCCATGCTGGGAGCTCGTTTCCCGAGATTCGGTTGAATTACCAGTGTACGATGGTCAGAGTTGTACATCTTCTTAATGGTTAGTATTTCAGCAGAACTCGGTTAGTGTTATTCAAATACCTTTGCATTTTCTGTTCACTATAACTATCAAACAAAAGCTTTAATAAATATTTCGCATTGTAATTAAAATAAGACTTTTTTGACGGATTAAAAAATAATAGTTGAAGCAGCTCTTCGGTAAACTAAAGAAATCTGATGTGTACACCACATGACTTCCTTGTATTGGAATATTAAATTATACGCATTTTTTCTTGCATTTCTTTTAACTTATTGGATTGAATTAAATCTACTTCGCCGACAGCGCATAAACCACAATAGAATAAATGCATTCTTTAAAATTCACTTTAGTATTTGTTTACCATAGCGACAGTCTGGCGCTAGATTCACTTAACAGTATTAATAATTATATAACAGTTAACTTATATAATAATTATATAACGGAAACTAAGTTAACTGTTATATAATCCAATAATTATATAACAGTTAACGTGTATATTTCGTTCATATTACAACTCATAATGCACAAAATTTATATCATTTAAAGAATATAATTATCTAATCGTTGCCACATGTTCTATTCAAATACTATAATAAAGCTAGAATGATGAAAAGAAATTAAGCAAACAAAACAAAAGAGGAACAGTTTTTCACAGACGATTGAGTATTTCTCATTTAATTAATTCAGTTCTCACTTCGCGAGAAGGCAAAAATACATAAAAACTCAAAATATCTATATTAAAAATTACGATGTAAATCTTAACCACTTATTTTCTCGAATAAATTTTAGAATGGATTAAACATGATTTAATTCGCAATAATAAAAGAAGGCGTTATCTTTGTTGTTGCGAAGCTTAGTTTCTTTAGATTGGCAACAAATCCACTATTCTGCCAAGTTTCAAATGTAAACAAACATGTCCGCCATCGCAAAATTCATTAGGCTTAGCTGCACTTAAACAACTATTAAATTGTTGATAACTCCACAAATATCGCATGCAGATTTACTAAAGGCATAAAAACTTTAACCGGAATATAAGAAAAACATAATTCAATCATTTTTAAAGCAAAAAAATGTACAATTTACAAACATATAAGAGTAAAGAAAATGAGATCACTGAGCCGGGTAACAGAGTGGATATATATATAAATATATTTATATACGTTTGGTGCGGCCGATTGCAACCAAAATACGAGGACTACATGTTATAGCAGTCCTATATACAAAATTTCAACGTTCTGAGGCTACTCGTATTTGAGTTATGCGAGATACGTACGTACATACGTTCGTACAGACGCCACGAAATATTATATTCAGAAATAATTTTAAAGCAGTTTTATAATTTTTTTGAAGGAAAAGAGTATTTTATTCTGTCCTTACGTACAGATATCACGCAAAAACATCGTTAAATTGCATTCGATAGCGGTTAAAATGGGTATTTTCGTTGAAATATGTTGCCTGAAACTTTTCGCGATTACAATACTTCCTTTTTACTTCGTACAAGGAAGTAAAAACAAAACTCTTAAAAAAAAAAAAAAAAAAAAAAAAAAAAAAAAAAAAAAAAAAAAAATTCTCCCCCCCCCCGAAAAAAAAAAGGTACGTCTTTTTTAAATCTGTTTAGGACTTTTTTCTTTTCTTTATTTTTTTCTTTTATCAAAAAGTATTTTATTCAATTCTATTCCTCTAAAAGTAGAGGAAAAGAAAATTTCCAATTAGCTTTACCTAATTTCCCTAGTTTTTGTGTTATCCAAGCGAGCTTAATAAAGTCGTATCCAGGTTTGTACTATTCTCGTGGCTAATGTGTAAAAATAACGTTTTTCTTTTTTTAACATTTAAAAATAAAAAATACCTCTTAGCTAATTTTACTTACGGAAACGATGTAATTAAGTTTAACTTAGCTTTCTGTGAATCAATATCTTTCTTTATTTTCATATATTTTAACAACCTGCAAGGCAAATCTGTTTGTTAAGTTGTTGCTAACTTAGTTTGAAGTATTCTTTCTAGAAGTAATTTTATCAGTTATTACATAGTTTTGGCCATTACGAAAGTTCTTGTGAAAATTTACTTGAGGAAACGCATATTCGAGGAGGAGTCAAAAATTAATTAATTTTAATATCTCCACGACAGTCAAATATGCAAAAATAAGACTGAAGATACTTCATCGTTTTTATTATAATCCTCAATATGTCAGTGCAGGTAAGCTTAAATTCCTCATTCAGAAAAAGTTTCCTTTGATTTACTTCGCAGCCTTTGATGCATTGCCTCTTTTATCTTATTGTCTGTTTTAAACTTCCTACCGGGCAGTGGTTGCTTTAGAATTTTAATTTATGGGTAT